CACCCCCAACTCCCCCACACCCCCTTTTTTTACTCCTCCCTCGTCCCGTCACACATGCTCACACAAACACACGCTTGCAAATTTATGACGCATGTAAGCATTTTGATGTGTGTGTGCGCTCCGTGAAAGTGCACACACAAAGAACTGCCAACAAGCGTCCCCTGTAGACTTAAACATCAGACCAGGCTCCTCAAAAAAAAGTCCTCTATTATAATGGTGTTTTTAAAAACAGAATTATACATTAAGGACCTTAAAGCAGAGGATGGTGTTAAACTACAAAAGCATTAAGTAAGCCCAATGAAATATACATTAGAGTAATTGGATCACAGAGAACTGTGGGTAGCAATCATCAGCAGCAGATGCTCAGACAAAAACATCCACTTACTTCAAAAAACAAAAACAGGGTGTCATTTTGGCTCAGAGGTTTATGTGAAAGAATGGGCACTAGTATGTGTATAGATCACTGTTTTCGTCCACAGAACCCCTGCAGAACCCTCCCCTGGCATGGTCATGGCTGTTCAGAGTATTTTCAGACAAAAGTCTCTGTCTGTATTTTCAAACACGAAAAGCTTCAGACAATCACAGCACACAAATGGTTCAGATCTCGACACATGCCACAGACAGGAGTGAGATGTAAAAGGACCACAGGGTTTGAGCAGCTTAGAGACAGTATTGAACTGTAAAAAAATGGATAATCAAAGCCACTCACAAGAGGTGTTTGGGTCACAGACAAAAATAGAGTCTCAATCCTCATAAAGCTTTGACTGGGATGACTGACTGATGCTCAAAGATGCTGCCATGACAGAGTGGCAGGCGGGAGAAAAAACACTGAAGCAGAATATTGGCTTCTCCACTTTGATGTTGGTGTCTGACTTGCTCATGATGGCTGGTTACATCTTCAAAACCATTCTGCATTGACAGCTGTAATGACCCCAAACATTTCATCTGTCATGTCTGAACTGTGTTCTGACAACTTCTGCTGAAAAAAGTACTTCTTTGACCAAATTTGATTTCCTATTCTTACATCTATCTATAAGAAGACAGTTAATACATATCCATTTGTCACAGGCTTTCCGTTTGATGTTTTTACACCAGTAAATCTCAACTTTCAAATCAGTAAATATGATAGCTACAAAGCAGTGAAGTATGTAAATGGAATCAAGAGACATCTGTGTGATCATGACCCGAGTGAGGTACAGCAGATCATAACTGAAAATCTTGATAAATTTTTAAGCAAAAAAAAGGGGGAATAAATAAGCAATAGTCGTTTGCACAAAAACTCATGCAGCCAACTTTGAAGTCAAAAAATTCTGTTTTAGTCATTTGAATATCAAAACCGACCTAGCCTTGTGTTGGCTCTCCTCTTCTGTTCCCTTTATTGGTTCAGATGAACCATGTGCAGGACAGATAAACTGTTCAAAGCTGTTTGTATTATTGTTGTGTTCATGCAGAGAGACCAAACGTCACTGCTCCATCCAGTCCACAGAGTGGGAAGCGGTTTCCCATGGTTCTGCTGGGATGTCGCTTTCATGTGGAAACAGTCTCCGGGTCCCTTTAGCCCCACTGTTGTGACAGAGGATAATGAAATTCACAACATCTGCCATTTGTTAGCGTGTTTGGTGTAACTGATCTCCTTTTAATCCATGGACTTCTAATGTGTGTGCAGCTCCACAGCTGGACTGAAGCAGATGGATCCCACGGCCTCTCTGGGGCTGTGGTGGGCCGGACCGGAGCTCCAATGTTCCTTGCACTTCCCCTCCTGGAGCTGGAGACATGGAGATCTGAGGAACACTACATATGAGCATTGTTATTATCACCATCATGTTCTCATGATGAAAGCAATAAAACATGGTGACACGCTAAGCTCATAATAAAATGCTCTCCAGAGAAACTCACTAAATGTGAAAATGTAACTATGAAAGTATTTTCTACGTTGACTTCGCCCCTCCATAGAAACCACGACCACTACTGGAGGGAAGTCTTGGTGTCTCTTCCTCATGTCTCTTTTTTAATAGCCAAGAAGAAGTGAGGAAACACAATCAGGGCCAGACATGAGTGCCTTTGGATGTCAAACGTTACACCAAATTTGAACACGAGAAACTGACTCAATGACTTTTCCAGGAGCAAAAATGCATGTCTTACTTATGTTGTATAAATAATTATCCTTTAGATGCTCTAATCACTCCAAAAATTTGATGTACCAAACTTTAAATTGTGATTTTTAGATACTTCAACATCATCCATGTCCAAACTGTTGAGCTTGTTTTGTTGTCCTCAAGTTTTTTAACAGGGATTTCCTTTTACAAGTCAGTTATTAAGAGTCATAAGCCGGCTACTGGATATAGTGCTTTTCAGCACCTTTAAGCAAAATGTTTTGGTTTTCTGGACCCAAACTTTTCTGTTTTGAGTATATTGTCATTCATAAACTCAGTAAAAAAGTTGTGCAATCCCGTTGTGGTTTCCATTTGAGGCCCCTAACAGAAGACGAGCAAAGTCAGCCAGTCTCGAGCAATGAGAATAATTTAACAGCTTTACAGACGTTACTCACATGAATTGGTGGGAAGTCAAAACAAGCTGAATTATGTTCACTGAATTGACAAGAACATGTCTATAAATGCATGCTTAAAAAGTTAGAGGCTTTGCAGATTTGCAAATAGCAACTGCTTACTAAGAAGTTTGTCTTTCAGAAGTTTGTCTTTGAGGGTTATACAAGGGCAGCTGCGGTTAAGTGGAAGAGTCGATCATCTGTCAATTGAAAGGTTGGCAGTTTAATCCCAGCTCCAGCAGTTGACATGTCAAAGTGTCCTTGGGCAAGATGCTGGACCCAACATCGCTCAAGATGACTTAGTGGGCGGTGTTGGATCCTGTGAATGAATGGATCCAACATAAGATTAATGGGTCTTGATAATGACAAGTAGTGTAAAAGCACTTTGAGAGGTCAGAGAAGACAGAAGTACAACTCAGAACAAGTCTATATGCTGAAGAAGACATTATTTATGAGACAGACTAAATTTAGTGTTTGTGGAGATCAAAAAAGGCCTTTTCTTTGTTGTTTTTTAATGCTTTGAAAACTCCAAGATTTTAGTTTCAAAGACTGAAAGAGAGAAACCCACCCTTATTCATTTTTCTGAGCTGTGTTTTACATAGATAACATTTTTTTGGCCTTGCCCTCAAACTCACTCTCCGTAACAGTATCACATAGTGATTTTACTGGTATGTAAAAGGGTTTGCTATTGGGCTGGTATTTCGGGCAGCAGATCAGAAGGTGTAACGTGTTGTGGATGGTTTTGTTCAGAAAGGAGACTCACACATCAACAGTGTCAGAGTCACCTCTTCATCTGAGAGCAGGAATGGCTGAAATGGATTCAGTCAATCTTTATTCCTTTCAAACCTTCTTCCCCCGTCCTCTACCCTCTTCATAAAACCTGGAATGTGCTTCAAAGAATGCACACTATCTTTCCTCCATGAATAAAACATCTGTCATTCATCAGCTGGTACAATATGTGCCGATTTAACAGAGCATAACGACTTTGCGAGGCAGGCAAGCTCCAGAGAGTACGAGGTACTACCAATCCCAGCCATAACCGAGTGTCACCCACCATCCTCTGGAGCTCGGGCTGGCATATTTAAGCAAGATTTGGTTGAAGTAGAACAGAAATGAAATAGCATTTTGGCGAAGAGAGTTTTAGAGCATATAACTCTTGTCAGTGAATCACTTGCGCTGTCAGACTGATCAGACTGAGCAAAAAAAAAAAAAGTTAAAAAAAGAAAAGAAAGGAAGAAAGAAAGAAAGACTACATATATTGTTTGTATTTTTAACAATGCAACAAAATCACAAAGATTCACCGATGCCAAACCAGCGCTTCATGTACAGAAAATAAACTCCTCCTCTTGTCTGACTCCTGGCCTCACCCCGTTGCTGCTTCAAATCCCCCCACTCCCTCTTCTCTACATTTCCGGTATTACTTCAGCTTTTCTTAAAAAAAAACAAGGCAAATAAGAGGGAAACAATCACCTTTGTGTCAGGGCTTGAACATGGACAAAAAGGTGTTTTTTTAAGCCACACATTTAATGAAAGGTCTAGTTGGCTTTCAGATATTGGATTCAGTGATCTAGAGATCATAAAACTTTTGCTATAGGCTTAAAATGAGGGTATCTCTGATGCTGCTGCTTTAGTTCTGACATAGAGGGAAATATAATAATAAATATCTTTACTTTAAAACCCTTATTAATGAGACATGCCTGTGTCATTTTAATGTTTTTTCTGTGAGCACTCTGGTTGAAGCTGCCATCTGAACATTCCCAAAAACTGTTTTGTTTTGTATGAAAGTATGAGTTTGCTGCCTTACATTTTGTTTACTATATTTTCTGGTAATATGAAGTTTTCTGGAGGTCTGGACTTTCAACGTACTGTCATATGATCACTTTTATCTCAAGAGTCCCTCATATAAACAGAAAATATTTCTATTGAGACAATGGCATAATCACCTGAATTATGAGGCAAACATTTTGTGATAGTAAAACTAGCTTTGTTGTCCTGGTATCACTGTGGATATGCAAGACTGAGTCTGTTTGATTGTACTAAAAGATGGTTATTCTGACTGAATAGCTCTCTGTTGTTTAGTATATTAAGTCTGTATTTATTGTATACATTTAGTATTTTTAGTCTGCATCGTACTTCTTATATTTATTTCATTTCTATCTATCTATCTTTCTATCTATCTATCTATCTATCTAAAAGTAAAAGAGAAATATTTACAAAGTGCACAAGCGATGCAGTAAGTGCTGAGTGTGAATGTAGAGAAATTGAATTGATTCAGTTTCTCTCTTAATGGTCCATCATGAAGACTGATGACTCTAACCTTAGTGAAAATAAACAGTGACAAAGTTTTTGTTGCTTGGAAGTGGAACAATTATATAGTTTAATGCTTGGCTTACCCCGCCCCCTACCGATGGTGGATTAGAGAATACCAGTCGCATCATAACACATTGACACCGCCAGTACGGTAGGTGGCGCTGCAGGTGTGGATAGCAGTGCGCGGATTATCCTGCACTTCCGTTACTAGTCAATACAGAGAGCGACCGGTACAAGTTAAAAATACAAACAATGGGCAAGAAACACAAAAAGCACAAGTCGGAGAAACATGGATATGAAGGTATTATAATAGGATAGTGAAGGCATGCGTTCACCTGAACAATTTCCTGATTTGGTTACTGAAATGGGCTTGAATTGTTGATGATTGTTCGTCGTTTAGCAAATTCACAATCGGTTAGCTCGGCAGCTATGCTAACAGATGGATTCAGCTGTCTGTTCATCTCCCACATATTTCTACTGATATCCAGAAACTGCTGCATCTAATGTCAGATATTCCAATTTCATATGGTGTGTTACCTTTGGCCGTAGCTCATATGTTGGTTGTATGGAGGTGGCTGTAGTCCCGGTGGTCCCTCAGCTGTCTCAGCTGTCTACCTAATGCTTGTATTGGTGTGATATCTTCAGAGTACGGAGAGAGACCACTGAAGCTGGTGCTCAAAGTTTCCGGGAACGAAGTGACGACGGGAAGTTCGAGTCTGGACACCCTCTATGACGACCAGCCGACAGACTACGACAAACCCAAAGACAAGAAGAAGAAAAAGAAGAAGGACAAAGAGCGGAGCTTTGGTTCACCAGGAGAGGAGAGGGGAAAGAAGAAGGTACCATCTTAACTCCTCTCATATACATAGACTTAAAAGGATATTCCGGCGTAAAATTTAGTCAGGGTCAGACACACCAGAACACCGAGCTAGACACCACATCGAGGATGAATGTTGCCGACCGCGTGCTTCTCTAGTTATACCACCTAACTTTATCAACAGTACATATAGGATCCCAGCCGAAGTACTAGCCATCAAACATCTTTTTAACTTTGCCGAATTTCTTTAGCAAAGAGACTAAACACAACTCACCTGCTTTCCTTCAGCAGCCGCTTGTTTGTAGCGAGACCTTGGGCCAGTCCATTACGAACTGCAGCGGGGTGACGCAGCTCAAAGAAGTACATTTATGATCATTACTTTATCATTTCCTTAAAGTAATAATCATCATATTAATCATTTTGCACTGCAGATGCGGTAGTTCTTCTGCCTTAGCGTCCCAGTCTGATTGCATTTGTGAACCCTGTTTATTGACAATGGCAATAAAACCCCTTCTGATTCTGATTTCCATGAAGAAATGATCATAAATGTTCTTCCTTGAGCTGGAAGTAACTGGCTGACTGGTCCGAGGTCTCCTTACAAACAAGCGGCTGCTGGAAGAGAGTGGGTGAGTTGTGTTTAGGCTCTTTGCTTAAGAAATGAGGCAAAGTTAAAAAGATGTTTGGTGGCTAGTACTGTGGCTGGGACCCTATATGTACTGTTGATAAAGTTAGGTGGTGTTCTGAGCATTATTTGTGGCTATAGAGTGGCTATTTGGTTGAGGTTTGTGTGTGGCTCCTCAGACCGCTGTGTTTTACTATCCTGCAGTTGTTACTAAAGTTGGTATAACTAGAAAAGCAAGCAGTCTGCAACATTCATCTCTTGAGGGGGTGTCTAACTCTGTGTTACGGTGTGTTTGACCCTAAATTAATTTTACGCCGGAATATCCCTTTAACTCCCCTTGTACACATAGACTTGAGGTTAAATCATTCTGAGCCTGCATAGACTCTTTTTAATAATCTTGTTCAGATCTGAGAAATCTAGACATAGTGGTTTTGGATAAGGACCTGGCTTCAATAAGCATCCCAGTGACAGCTGAATCAGTAACTGCAAAGAAGATGCTGATTCCAGCATGGTTGAAATTCTCTCTTCTACCTCTATTAAAGGATGATATAACTCCTGAACTAAACCACGAAATAGAAAACTATTATCTTCACGTATCAGGTTACTATTTCTTTTTGTAATCATAGATGACAAAGAAGAAGAAAGGACAGGATGCAGATGGGGATGATGACCGGGAACAGAGTAGAACTCCTGTTCGTTCAGAGTTGGACAAATTGGAAGGTAGTCTGACATTTCCTTTGTTTCATAGTTTGTCTTCAGCATCTTGTCTGATTGTTGTTGTTATTTCTGATGTTACATTTTACACTTTCTAGCAGAAAAGGAGCAGACACCTCTTCAAGAAGCTTTAAACCAGCTCATCAGACAACTCCAAAGGTGCAAAACTGAACTTTTCATTGGATTATGATAACTGTGTATTTACTGTAACAGTTACAAACTGTTTTAAGTTTTATCACGTCTGCTCTTAGTGTGCCTGATTATGTCACCAAACATTTTCTTCTCTGTCTTCACTATTTATTGTTGCTGGTGCTCATGTTAAATTTGACTATATGTGTTTTCTCTTCAGGAAAGATCCCAGTGCATTCTTTTCATTCCCTGTGACAGACCTCATCGCCCCCGGCTACTCCTCAATTATCAAACGGCCCATGGACTTCAGCACAATGAAAGACAAAGTGAAAAAAGAGTGCTACCAGACCTTAGATGAACTCAAGGTAAATGTCTGATTTACTGCATGTCTGCTTTATACACACCCTAACACACACACACACACACACACACACACACACACACACACACACACACACACACACACACACACACACACACACACAGTTGAAAAGAGATGAAAAGTTTGCCCCTGGAAAAAAAACCTCTATCATACTTCTTTGCTGATTTTATAAACTTGGCTCTAAACAACGAGGATTTTCCTCTTTTTATATTGCGACAGAAAGTCTTTTGAAAAACTCAGATATAATCAAAGCTTGTGCCTCTTTTGTCATCAGTTCACAGAAGCAGTTTACAAAATGATTTGCTCACTAGTAACACTTAGTTTCAGATGATGTCTGCTGCTCTGTTTGCTAATGGGTTGTTTACAAAAACTCTGTAAATTACTTGATAGTGATATTGAATAATCTGTGTTTGTGTTTTCTGTAATTCGCTGACTATATTTTGCTGTCCACAACGTCAACACTGTTTTTTTAACCAGTTGTATCATAATGTCAATTTTCCAGAGATCCTGAATGTATTAGCATAATCTGGTGGTAAATTACACAATAATGAGTGTTGGAAATCCTCTGCTTATAGTAAGAAGTCTCAGTGTTATGGTTTCAGAAGGCTTATTCTGTAATCAGATTAACAATCCCTCTGAAGAGTGGAAGAAGTGGAATGCGTAGACCGCTGTTGAATCCAGAGATCTATTAGCTATTTGCCAATTACGGTCGATCTCTTTTTAAAACTTGATAAACAGTTATATCTGCATGTAGGCACAGTTAATAATCCTCTTAGTTTTCACCACCACCCTAGAAGTCTTTGCCAAAGGTCTTTTAAAGCACACCTGTAGCTGTAATGCCAGACCACATACCAGACAGATGTGACATGGGAAGTTGCTGAAACTAGAGAGTAAATATTAACTAATTCTTCTGTTACACATACTTGTGTTGTTGTAACAATAAAACTGTAATATATTGTGCTGCCCCAGCAACAAAATGAACCGTCTTCTTTTTTTTATTGCATTATTTTTGCCGTATTTATTTTAGATTTTACCTAAAATATAAAATACCTTTATCTAAAATATCCTGGTTCAAAGTTTCTGATGTTTTCTGTTTCCTTGTTGCAGGTGGATTTCAGGATAATGTGTGAGAACGCCATGATTTACAACAAACCTGAGACAATTTATCACAAAGCAGCTCGGAAACTGTTACATTCAGGAATGAAGATCCTTAGCCAGGTATGAGGATTCATCAAACACACAGAATTAAACTGCTTTGCATTGTTTTTGTTGTTTTTGTTTTATTGTTGTGACAAGTTTGACCTGAGGTGTTAATGAAAGGATTTCAGCTAACTAGTTTAACTTTTTAATATATTCTTTTTGGAGGGTTTTGTTTTCTTTATCATGTAAAGGATTAAATATACACCCGTTAATATTTGCTGTTATTAGCACGAGAGGTACTTTGATAAGGAGAGGTTCAGTCAAATATGACCTGAATAGTGTGTGAAAAATAAGCCCTGAAGTAAGAAACATCCTTCAAAGGAAACTTCTTTGACCGTAGATGGTATGCTCTGTAAATGCATGAATCTGACTTTTCTTTTGCACACATTATGTCTTTATGTAACTTCCTGTACAGTTATGAAAGTGCAGTAGTGTTTTGTTCTCTCTTTATAACACATGAGGGCAGCAGAGAACCTCAGTGATTACACACAACATAATCAGTTGGCTGTTTCTTTTTCCTCTTCACACCATCTTTCTTTAGGAGAGGTTGGAGAGCCTGAAGCAGAGCATAGCGTTCATGTCTGGCCTTGACCCCTCTGCCAAACAGCCAGGGAAGTCTGAGGATCAGGGTGGCACCACCCTGGACCAGAACGGAGAGAGACCCGGCGCCACCACAGACAGCAGCGAGAGCTCCCAGACACCAAGCACTCCAAGGTCTCTCTACCTGCTGACATCACATGACAGTTTTTCCTAAAGTTAGAGTCGATTGTCTCTTTATCATAGCTGCTCTTACCTTGTCGGATTTGGGATCTGAGCGGTGAAAGATTAGTCGATCTGTAACTTAAACTAATCATGAAATGACCAAAATCTCTCATCAAATACAAAATTAGAAGAATAAACATGGTTCATGCAGCTCCTGCGCCCTTTTTCAGCCACATTAAAGACTGAAAAAGTGAAATAATAAGTGCTGAAAGTGTCATTAGCGTTTTCATGGGTGAGATCATTTAGCAGCCAGAAGTCAAATTACAGCATGCTGGTGGAAACGGTTTCTCACAGTGTCACTCCTGTGGGTTTGTGTTTTCCTCTGACACCACACTGAGTAAGTTTTCAGCTGTGGCTCTGTAGGCAGGGAATGAGAGGAATGGCTCACAGCATGCTGGGTCATGTTTTCTCTCATGGCTGTGCATCTCTGAAATCAGTCCTGTGGCCTGTTGATGTAATAAAATCTGACGATTTAAGTTGCTTGTCGGATATGACTCACCGGGAGAGGAAACAGCAGAGAAACCTCTATTTTTCTCTTTCTCATTCAGCTGCTTTCACCTCCTGTGTTACATCAGATGATAGTGTGTACAAAAAGTAGATGGCATTAATTGACGTCAGAGTAGTTCTGGCAGAAAGATTATCCAAAGAACTAAATCTGAACGTAGGTGTTTGATGAACAGCTCTCATGTCTCTCCCTGCAGTGTTCTGCTGCAGTGTGCAAGCTTTTGTTCTGGCTACAAAGGGAAGCCTTGTCTTCCATGGTCAATGTGTCTCATCTGCTGTCTTTCAATTCCTGCTCCATTTACAGACAGGACAAGGACTCCAAGGACGAGGCAGCAAAGGCAGAGAAAGAGCTGGAGGAAATCCGCAAGGTCATCAAGGAGTCTGAAGGAAAACTGACCAACAGGACGCTGCAGTGTGAAGTGAGAAAGAGTCCAACTAGTGATTTCTCTTCTCTTTTCAGACTGCATATCTGCTGTGAAAAACATCACAACTCCTACTCATATAAGATGACAGGGAAAAAAGTATGAAGTTTCTAAGACCCTGTTTTGATGCTCTTCAATTTTTCATCTGGACGAGAGAGATGGAAAAGAGAATTGATGAAGTGGATGTTTTGAAACATTCATTTTAGGGCATTAAGATTTTAGCTCGTAAAGTTACAGACTCTGGGTGGTGAAAACAGACAGTTCTCTGTGTGTTCAGAGTGAGAATATGGTCATAGTCTGAAATTTGATGATACTATTTATTTTTGTTTAGCTGGAGTTTGCGAGACGGAAGTCAGATGGTTCCACTACACTGGCGATCCTGAACTCAGCAGATCCTTCAGCAGGAGGTGAGTGTGGCAGGAGTCCAAAGATTAAAAATAGTATTATTGATTTGATGTAATCATCATCATGTCTGTATCGGCCCTCATAAGTCCACCATCACCCTCATCTTTCCTAATAAAAATATATCTGACCCTGACATATTCTGTCATTCCTAAAAAGTTGTTACATGTTTCCTGTTGCAGATGTTGGTTACTGTCCCGTGAAACTGGGCATGATGTCCAATCGGCTGCAGAGCGGCGTGAACACTCTGCAGGGCTTCAGGGAGGACAAGAGGAACAGGATCACTCCGGGTATGTCATGTTTCTGCACATGAAATGAGACATCTCCCTTTGCTGTTGTTTGAGCTTCTGTGATGAGTTGACAGTGAGTTGATACAGACTCTCTCAACAGTGTCTTACATCAACTACGGGCCCTTTACCTCCTACGCTCCCACCTACGACTCCAGTTTTGCGAATGTCAGCAAAGAGGACTCTGACCTCATCTTCTCGGCCTATGGTGAAGAGTCCAGCCTGCAGGGCTCAGACAGGTATGTGCAGCACGACCACAAAACGCACTCAGGCTCTTTGGCATTCACAGAAAACCGTCACAGCAAACGTCACTGCAGGCATTCCTGGCTGATTGCTCTCCAGATGTTTCTCTTATGCACCAAGGTTATCCAGCCTGGAGGAGGGGCTGCTGCAGACTGAGCCTCATCCTGACTTCTTACTCTTTAGTTTTATTTTCATAATTATCCCACAGTTTATTCATGACATCTCTGAATTACTGCACCTCCCCTCAGAGCGTTCGCCTGGTCTGTGTATATAACTTTTTGAGATGTGTGTTTTGGCCAAACATTGAAGGTGACTGGATGTTTTAGGGTTTAGAGCATCTGACAACACACTTTTATTGTGTAAACACTGTTAATGCTTTGTAATTGTGACTAAGTATTGTTTATGGTTTGTATATGAGATCTCTGAATGTTTACAGCTTTTCCTCACTGGATTAAATGAATGAATGGTCAGGGTTGTTGCTTGATGTACCTCATTAGAAATCTCTGTTGCTTTAAAGTCCCACTCTGATAGTTTTTTTGTAAGTACTTAAAGTGTTCTCAGCGGTCTTTAAACTGTGATTATGACGTTTTTAGCCAAAATCATGTTACCTGTGTCGTTTTCAAGGGCTTTTCTTCTGCAGAGTTTGAGTAGATAATAAGCAATTCGCCTCTGAGTTGTGGGCGGAGACAGCGCTGCTCTGCACACTCATCTTCACGCTAGTTTGCAGCCAAACATTGCCGGTGTAGTAGAAGTAGCAGGTAACATAGGGGCTACTCTCGGGACACAAATGTCTTTAGGGACACGATAAAAGATAATATCATAATTAGCTTTCTTACGAGCATTTCAGTCCGCTAACGCTGATGCTCTTTCCGCGATCGTCCTCTCTGTTTCTCCAACCCTGCCTGCATAGCGGGGCTCTGGGGGCGGAGCTTGGATTAGTGACATAAGAAATCTCACTGTATCTGAACCTGCTGTTTGGGTCTGTGAGAGATTCACAGCGATTTAAATGAAGAAATACTCAGAAATGCAATGTCACACTTCTTTTTCTCATGATATGTCCACTAGTTTTGGAAAAATACCAAATGAACATGTAGACAACAAGAAAAACACGATTTTCATTGGAGTGGGTCTTTAAGTGTATCTTTGTGGAAGAAGTCAGTTTATATTTCCTTATTGAGCATCTAACATGAGTAGCTGCTCCATTCCTAAGCCGTTGTGTCAGTATGAAATATTAAAAGTGTAAATATTACCATAGATATCAGCTCTTGGCTGTCTCACAGTGTGAAGGAGGTTCAGTGTTGTTCTTCAGCGAGTGTCAGCGGAGTCAGCGTCATCTCCTCATTATTTTTGGCCAAGAAAGTGTTTTGGATTGTCACCCCGCTGCTGCAGAGAAAACATTAGCTTTTGATGTTTGTATTTGTGTGTTTGGCAGCTTGTCAGAGTTCTTGGCCAAATCAGACGAGTATGTGTACAAACTGGCAGACAACATCCTGGATGCTCTGACAAATGGAGAGCATTCAAAAACCCTGAAGGAAACCGAGCAGGTAAGCAGCTAATGCAGCATCTGATCAGAGCCGGGCTTCATCTAAGAGCACATGATCGAAATCAAAAGAGAGTTAAATGAATGAGATGTTTTTTTTCTTTTTGTCTTTGTTCAGCAAGTGGAAGGGGGAACAAAGACACAGGAGGACAAGGATGACATGGAGGTGAGTGTTTAGAGAAATCTGGAGCTGATGCCCACAAAGAAGCTGTCCTCCGTGATAAACAGCATCTGCGAACTAATGAAACAAACATGGTGTGTTTTTTTGGGTAACGCTCGAGCCGCACACCCTCAGCAGTGTCGGAATCGATGTGATGAAGACGAGCTTCTGCTGCTCTGCTCGTGTTCTTGTGCTCTCTCTCGTGTGGATACTTCATTTCAGTCTGACATTATAGATGGCCTCTGCAGATGGTTGCTGTGTCAACCAGCTGTGTCAACATAGCAGGGGCCTGCCGTTAGCTGTGATCCATCCACACATGGAAAGAACATTTCCCTCTAAAACACAGCACCTCACTCTCTCGTTGCTTGCTGTCGGAGAAATCGTGGAGGCCCGTGTGTTTTCTTTCAGCGCCCGCTGGCTGTTGCGGAGCTGAATTGCTCCTCAGACCAGCGCAGGAAACCAAAGCACATCCCCACCCCCCCTCTCCATCAGACACACAGCCACCTCTCTGTCCTGCCTGTTTGCTGTTCTTGGCTGCTCTCCAGTTTACTCTCATCCCCCTGCCCGGGTGTTGCAGCTTTTCATTAGGTTTGATTTTATTGGAGCGAAGAAGCAGCGTGACTAAAGAGGCTTCAAAAGGCCTGGATGTTCCCTCCGAGCGTCAGCTGTCTAGTGAGGAATGCATTTTTCTAATCTGATTCAACATGTCTCTCACACCCCCCCCCCCCACCTCTTGTGTCTTGTAGGTAGCTGAACCTCTAGCACCCATCAGCAACCGGCTTGACTTCCTGCGCTCCGTCACAAGCCTGCAGGACACAGAGGAGCTCTCCGGGGGTAAAAATTCACTTTGATTGTTTCACATTCAAGACTAAATATCATTTTGATCATTAAAACATGAATCTGCAGGTCTCAGGCAACTTTGAAAATACTCTCCTGTGAGGATGTTAGATGGTATGAAATGTTCCTAATTATTCACAAATTGTTTTCATTAATGATTGACTCTTTGAAGGCCACAGATATGATCAGCCTTACCACAGAGCAGGACAGGGATTTGTTAGCCTGGTCAGCCCCGAACAAAGAAATTCATAATTATCCTCTTAATGCTGTTGATGCCATTTAGGTAATTCAAAACAACAAAAAAAACAGCACTCATCTCGAGCAGTTAGAGCAGGCTTTTATCCGTTCAGCACCCCATTATGTTTCCTCTCAGATCTTTCTAACGGTCCATCAGTGTTTTTTCACCCCCCTCTGCTCTCTCAGCACTCAGACATTAGTGAAACAGTGAGAGTCTGGGTTTGAGGAAAGAAAGGATGTATTGTGTTCGGGACTGAGGACAGGCAGGGTAACCAACAGGAGGAACTCAGAGAAATCATTAACTGAATACGAGCTGCCTCTCTTTTCCCCCTCGCTTTGTCACAGAGGCGCTGCATTTCCAGCAGAAACTGGACCAGACTACAAAGCTCCTGCGTGACCTGCAAGAAGCCCAAAAGGAACGTCTAAGCGCCAAGCAGCCGCCAAACATGATCTGCCTGTTGGCCCCGACGACCAAGGAGCTGGAGCTGGGTAAGAGCCCTGAAGAGCACTGACCTTCAGGTGGAGACGTGTCATCAGTCCATTTACCTTTTAGCCTATTCACTAAACTCTCAGTCTCTTTGTTAAATGTTCTGACCAAACTTTAATCACTCACAAAAAACCTGCACAGAGAAACTTCATTGACTGAGTTATAACCATACCTGCCAACAACACTCCCAATTTTCTCAGGACCCTCCCGTTTTTCAGACCGATCTCCCGCCCACCTCCTGTATTGTCTTTTCTCCCGGGAATCTCCCATAGTTTTTAAGCTGTAAACTATACTTGAGTGGTGTTTGTTGCAAAATGAACACTTCAATGAAAGGGAAACAAACGTGAGATATCATATTTAGGTTAATAGTCTTGTACCGGCTTGGGGTGATGCGTTCAGGGCAGCCTCAGATAAAAGAGTGCTGTATTTCACGCATAGATGTTCAGAGAGCTTCATACGGGAGAGAGCATGCAAAACATATGAGGACTTTAACTCTAATATTAGTGGACGAAATAAGCTCAAGGCATATCATAGCTTTTATTTTTTTGTTACCATTTTTTATTGTTAAAACAAAAGTGTCCAACTTCACTTATACTTATTTGGATGAGTAATATAATTACAAATACTCTCATGATTAGATCATATCCACCATTCAAGGTAACCCCAAAACTGCCCGGCGCACGCCGCAAAAGTCTCCCTAAAAGGATTTTATAACCCAAATGTTGGCAGGTATGGTTATAGCACTTGTTGTTGGCTGCAGATGTCTCTTCTTGCTGTGCGAATAACACAAATTGTTGTGTCATTTTTGTCTAATGTGTCTCTTTTTTTCCACCTTCTCTGCGTCTGCAGCTGAGAAGGTGACTGGAAACCTGGCTGAGCTCACAGGTCAGGTGGCTCCTTGTGACGTCAGCAGCGTGTACGGCATCAGGAGGGCGATGGGCATCGCTTTACCTCCAGAAACACTCGAGCCACTCATCGACCTCACTACAGGTAAAAACCTTAATGATACAACCCGGTCAAAACAAGCTGCGAGATCGGCTTCTTCTTCTAGGTTGAAGGTTATATTCTGTTCTGTGAAACTGTTTTATTTACCAACTCTTTTAAAAAACTGAATCTCAGCATAAACTCTGATGTTGTTCTTCAAATGTTTCCAGTGCAGGAGACGGCTGAACCCATGGAGACCTTGTCCAGCTGTCAGGATAAAACTCCAATTGCCACTGTATAATTAGATTCCAACCACAGACTCGGTTACATAACTTCATATTTGTCCAAAAGGTGCTTTTTGTGTGACATTTGTATGAATTTCATTAAATACACTTTTTACTTAAACTTCGGCTCTGGTGAAATAATTTATGGAAAACTTCAGACTTAGGAAAACATTTATTACATTCTGTCACTGTACAAAATGAAATGCCGCTTTATTCACACCATGGTCAATACATTATTATTATTATCAATATGTAACAACAATTCGAGAAACGTGATGGTCTCAAAGAGATAAGGCCACGAGACAAGTCAAGTTTTCAGAGACACGGAGCGATCTGGATCAGTTGAGGAGGTGGTTTGAGCTGGAGCCAGAGGAAAATTCACAGCAGGCAGGGAGTAAGATTACAGACCAGGAGACACAGGGGAGAGGGGGACAGGTTCCCCTCATTGCAGCATACACAGACAAGCAGCAGCACTTAAGAGAGCTGACATACAGCACACGGATTTCATGACATTCCCACTTTCTGAAAAGCAGTAAGTATCCTGTCAAAAATGTAATTTGGAACTCAACTTACTGAGCAACTGAAAGTCTGTAAGAATTCAACATTTTCCACTTTGTCAGAAAGTGTAGGTACAAGTTTTTATGGTGTGAATATCTCTCAAGGAAAGCATGAGAGGAGTTTTCTCTTAACTTCATCTCCTGTACATCCTATTTCTGATGATGCTCATTACACAGTAACAGCAGTGGGTCCATCTCTTCTCCAACAGGAGACCCAGACGTGGGTTTCAAATTCTGATCCAAACAGAGTCTGGCACTGTGGACCGATGAGTTCTTCATTACTTATGTAACTCTATTAGGCATTAGTACAATACGTAGCTTTACTACTAGTAAACATCTAAGTCAGAGACAAAAAGTACAAAAGTGACTTGAGCACTAGACGTAAACGTGTTTGTGAGTAGAAAAAGATGTTGATTGTACGTTGTGACCATTTCTCCACCACCCCGATCCGTCTGACTGGTCCAGAAAGTGCTGCTTTATTGTGACGACACAGGAGCACAGCTGTATCACAGTCAGTCCTGTCTCAACACTGGTCCGGTCCAAGTGGACTTCAACTCCCAGACACAAGTCTGTCTCCAGTTTCTGTTTGCTGCAGCAGCCTGACCTCAGCTCAGCCCCATACTCTGCTGCTTGCTCATGTCCGTACACACAAAGAAAGTTTTCAGCTCCCCTTTCCCCTTCACATTTATGAATCCTCGACACTCGCAGGAGTAGCCCAGCTTCTGCAGCACCACGGTTGTTTCCTCTGTGACCTGGGAGGAGACAAAGACCGCGGCAGCTCAGAGGAAGTCTCAAATGTTATCGACAGTTAGATTTACACCCAGATCTGCAAATGTTTTCACAAAGCTTCTTTCTCTAGCTTCAAATTCAGTCGATGGAAGTGGCTACAGGGCTGCCAGAATTTAGAGTCAAGCTTTGAACCCACAGCTAAGAATGAAACAGCAATAAAGTTTATCAGCAGGACAGGAGCCAATGGAAAGTTCTGATGACTGGCTGATGATGTCAATTGTTTTCTGATGCTGTTTTCATTGGGTAATGAAAATTGAAACAGCTAGAGTCAGCTTACATCTGTTTTGAGATCTTTAACACAGAGACGGCCCACATGAGCCCCTTAAATCAGAGCTTTTTTAACTTCTCTTGAGATCTCACTGTTTCATTGTGATGTTTTGTGTGTTATCACTCCCTGTTGTATTTTTATGTTGTAAAATAGTCTGGCCAACCCAGGTTTGTTTTAAAGTACAATACAAACACAGCTGACCTAAATGAGACGTCTCACACTGTAAAACATCACATAACATGTTTCTGTTTGTGTCCGTACCTGGATCTTGCCCAGCTCCCCTGTGCTCTCCATCCTGCTGGCCACATTAACCGTGTTCCCCCAGATGTCGTACTGAGGTTTCCTCGCTCCGATCACCCCGGCTATCACTGGGCCATGATTAATGCCTGTGGGAGTAAAACAAAACAACATGTTCGCTCTGTATTTAACTTGTGCTACCTTAATTTGTAGGAAATAAAAAGAAAGTGTGAGGGAGTGTAGAGATGTAGGGCGTCAGGTTCAAGAAGAAGAAGAAAAACAGGCTCACTAGGTAACAGAATGGAAAAATGATGAAAAGGATTTTTCCATTAAAAACGTAGTTCTGTTGGTTTGCAGTTGGTTCCTTCAAGGACATTTCCTGACTGTCATAAAATGCTCGAGCTCTACTAAATCCTGTTTACAGAGGTCTAAGTCAATTGCAAAATGCTTGAGTACTTGGCGAAACATCTATTTTACAGCTAACGTCATAAATATCTCTGAATTCACTTCAATAAAAAAACACAACACTTCATCTGCTACAGCCTTACTCCGCTCTGTATGAACATGAACTTATGGTTGGTAATGTTAGACAGTAGACACAAACATTACATTTTGCACTTCATCATGATCGCTTCATCTTTTACAATGATCATCTAAGTCCAGGAGGCAGCAAGAGATGGAAAGGCTGGTCAGAGAGAGAGAAGGATGCTGAGAAAACAATGGAAGAAAGTCTGAAGCAGAGAGAGAAGGACTATCACTCCTCCAGACAGAGATCAAGTGTCGGTTGACAACTTTGCGAAGAGCAGAGAGAATGAGGAGACTTTGCAAAAAGAAGGAACGTACAAGAACACGTTTCTATAAAAATCCCTTCAAATTTGTCAAAGACCTCTTCATTCAGGAGAAAAAGTGGGACGTTACAAACTCCTGAGCAGGACTTGGAGAGACATCTTGAAAAAGACCACCAGGACACAAAAAGACATGGGGAGATAGTCATCCTGCATGATATACCACCTATCCAACCTCCCGAATTCCCCCTGGTCCTCCAAAATGGAAAGAGATAGAGTATACGGCACAGCGTGCAAGGATTGCGTCAGCACCCGGACCAAACGGAGTACCGAATAAGCTTTATAAGAATGCACCAGATGTACCACGTCACCTTTGTATATCATCTACTGACACGATGGACTGCTTAACATCTCGTCCCGTGTTTTATGATTCTGATCTCTTTGCTTATAAAACGTGAACTTTCAATTTTTTATCGCTAGTGTACATTCATCCATTCATTCCAGTCGTTGTCTTAATTTGTGTTTTTGTTAAACCAAGACCAGAAAACCAATGTCTATGAACATGTTTCCTCTTCAGCTGATTTTTGGACCAAAAGTGAGCTAGTCCTTTTTTTTTGACAGGTTTTTCCCCTCTAAGACTAGATCTAGTGGGATATGAGGGAAAACTGCATAAAGTCCACAGCCTCCAAAAACTGATATTTAATAAGAGTTAGCAAAAGAGCAACACAAAATAAAAGCAGCGAGCGTTTATACTCTGTAAGAGTCCAGAATAGAGCAGAGTAGGAGAGAAACAGCTCTTTATGCAGCTGAGGGCATGAGGGTTAGCGCACATTTCAAACACCACAAATAACTAAAACCAACAGTCACTGACAAAACCCTCAACACGGAGTGAGTCAGAAAAACAAAAAACATCCTGCGGAGAGGAAGAAGACAAGGGCAGGAGGGTGATCAGGTTATTGCATATAGTAATGGCATCTTAAAACATGAATACAGAGCACTGTGACTGTGACTGCAATTACGCGTTTTTTGTCTCAATTGTGTGATAATCTGTTTCAGTTTCCTTTGTGGACAAATATAACTTTCTTAAGAAGAGTACACCTATCAAACAGTGCCACACACTATCCACACAGTTTCAACACATCAAACATACTCTGTCCAGTCATACGCTAAGTTTTCCCTGAGCCTGTTGTTGTGTGTCTGTTCCACAATGTTCAAGCATTTACCTTTGTCCTGTAATTGTCACCTGAAGCCACAGTGGCAGGGATGTTTTGGATAATAGTTGGACAACAGTTTAGCCTCACTGTGTTTTTAAGGCGCAGCTCTATTTTAAACATTTTAAAGAAAACCATTAAGTCATTTAGAAAAGTGTAACGCTGCTGTAGTTCAGAACATGTCACCGGCTGCAGAAACAAAAGTTTGTCGACACCTGCCACAGAAAAGGACTCCTTCTTCATAAAAATGTACTGGATGAACTCAGTTGGTAAAATCGTGTAACAAGGAGACAGTCCTTGATGCAGAATCACTTTTCTTATCCTGACAAGATTTGGTATGTAGTTATTGATTTATATTTTTTATCACAGATCTTAGTACATTAGCTCTGAAATAGCTTGACAAAACAATTCATAAATGTCAGTTATGTCCTGCACAGTGTAACCAAGGAAACCCATTGTGTCAGCTGAAAAAGGTTCAGCACAGTATTCATCAATGAAAGGTTCCTGCTGGTGCTGCCAAGCAGCTGAGCACTCACCCACACGCAGCCTGAAGCTGTTGAAGGAATGTCTGTTGATGCCGTCCAACTTGCCAATCAGAGCGATGGCAAACTCAACCATGATCCCGATCTGCGCCTGCTGCCGCTCTCTGTCCTGAGGCAAACATTTTATTCAGCGTCATTATGACAGATCCCTGCTTGTAAGGACGCTCAGTGTGTGTGTGTTTATGCTTTGCCAAAAAAATAATTTAACCCAGGCGTTCTGGCCCAAGCCTGAACCTGGTCTGACGTAGGAGCTACTCCACCTGATTGTTCTCCTGACCGGGAGTCCCACTGAGCCCTGCTGCAGCCATGTAGGTGCTGCCAATTGTCTTGATCTTCTCCACACCGCTGAATTTCGGCTTGGACAGCAGCTGTGGAGTGAGGGAGAAATTAAAAGAGTGTGAGATGTGAAGGAATTCATCTCCCCTTTAATTATGCTTATCATTTACTCCTGTTTGCATGCACACTTTAGGATCTTAACTCTACTTCCTAATCATGAGTCATAGCAAAACTAGGGATGGGAATCGAGAATCGGTTCCAAATGGTTTAATCCATCGACATCATTTACATTTTATCTTAATGATTCCCTTGACCATTCCTTTTTTCCGGGTGCCTTGAAAAATGGTCTTGTGAGTGCCAGTCTACGCGAACGGAAACATAGACGGAGAACAAACATGCGGATGGTTGAAAAGTAGGCAGAAACGAGCTAAAGTGTTAGAAGTGCACAAAAACACCCGACCCGAACAAAAAAAAACCTCAAAATTTCACACACAAGTCCGCCCCGCGTAGTAGTGTCCTGTTTTTGGAGGTTCAAAATATGGTCAAACTAATGTATGTCCTGTGTTAACATAAGCACAGTGCATGCCAGAGACACTGATCAAATAGCATTGTTGTTTGATTATTATCATTCTCTCACTGAAGGTGGCATACATCTGTTTCTGTTATCAGAGACTCAATAAAATTTTGAGTTAACGGTGAAAACCTTTAGTTTACTCTTTTCTTAAATCAAAGAAAGGCATTGATAAGGAAATCGTTAAAGAATTGAGTCAATAAGCAGAATCGATAATGGCATCGATATTGATAAAATCGTATCAATTCCCATCCCTAAGCAAAACCATACTACGCCTCAAAACACGTATCCATCATGTACCACATTAATGTACTTGACAAAGACTTGAGGGACGAGAAACAAGGAGAGTTTTTGTTTTTCCACTCTTTGTCTTCTGACCTCGTCAAAGTCGGCGATGATCTCATTCAGGAGCCTCAGGCATTCCAGTCCATCCTTGTTGATATCACACTCAGTGTAAAACTCTTTGAAATCCGGCACTGAGGCAAACATCACACACACACAGTCATAGGACTTGTAGTACAGGTCCTAGGAGGAGAGAGACAACAATGGAAATACAAAGAGAGCGTGTAATCGTGTTCCTCAGGTGGAGGCTGGGTTTGTTTGGTTGATGCTTTTGCAACATCAGAGAAGTTCACAATCTTTTTAGTCTGAATTTTTCACATGATAACAGTCAAGACAAAACATCAGGAACACCAAACATAGAAACGGCTGTAATGTCAGAGATAGTGTGACGACCTTGTAAGTCAGCACTGGCGTTTTTAATATGTTTGCAAAAGACACAGAAATATCCTCTTCATTGTTGTCTTTTGGTGGAAGTCAAGAGTCTACTTATTTTTCATGTGCTTCAATGCCGACCTAGATTTGAGAAAAATGACCTGATCTTTGGCAACATTTTGCAACGTCATAATTTTGAAATTCATGGTAATTTGTCTTTTAGTTGTCGGTGAATGGATGCGATTATAGTTTTTTCTTTCTCTATGAGTCATTAATGATGAAGTATCATTAATTTTCCTATCATTAAAAGTCATTAAAAGTCTCACCTCATTCTTTTTATTCTCCCCAACAAACAGTGCCGCCACGTGGGCTGGCAGCACGTTCTCCAGCAGCAGGCGGTTGAGGTTCTCCCTCGTCTCAATCTCGTCCTGCTCTGTGCGGTTCTTATACTTCAACAGGAAGTCCTGGCGAAAGCACGATTCATTCTAGTGGAAAAAAAAATCATAGTCAGACCGCAGCAGACCGGGAGATTCATTTTATTGCCTCGTTTCTTTCCTCCTTGACCTCCAAACTGGGATACACTGAGAGGGTATTCCTTAATTTACCCTATTTTCAGGACTATAGGTCGCACCAGCCAAAAAATGCATAATGAAAATGAAAAGAGATATACTGGTATAAGTTGCATTTTTGGGGGGAAATTTATTTTACAAAATTCAAGACCAAATTATAAATGAAATTATATGTTTTAATACACATAAGTCGCACCTGAGTATAAGTCGCTAACCCAACCAAACTATGAAAAAAAGTGGGACTTATAGTCCAGAAAATACGGTACTATAAATCAAACAAAGTCTCTTGTAAATGATACCCTTTGACATTTTTGGGCAGAAGGCTCGAGAGGGGAGGAGGCAGAAAATAAAAATCTTTACGAGTCCTAAATAAGAAATAATTTAAAAATATATATGTTTTAAAACCTTCTGTGTTTATCTGAGAGGGATTGATTTGTTTCTAGCATTTCTAACATCTTTCGATTGATGTAAGACAAATATCTGAACAGGAATAATTAGATTAGGGTGGATCAATAAAGAGAGAATTGGACTCATTAGTCACTCACAAATGTGAATCTTTCTGTATTTCTTACATCTTGTGGCTATGAGAAGGAAAACAATTGAAAAACATGAACATATACAGAAAGGCAAGGGGTAAATACCTGTTGTGAGATGATGAGCATAGTGACCAGGAACAGGGTGATATACATGCAGCTCATCACCTGAGGGTGCTTCACCAGCCCTAAACATCTGAGTGGGTCATCCTCACCGCTGCAGGGCAGACATTAACAGTTAGGTCTAATTACATGTGTCCAGTAAACTGTCATTAAGACAATATATTTAATGTATTCAAAGAAGCTAAGAGTGGCAGCTTAACCCTGATAAACTCGGATTTACTTGAAGTTCAGTCCCACCTGGTGCAGTTACAGCTGTCATCAATCTGAGTGCAGAGGACATCTCTGTAGCACTCAAACAATTCCCTCCTGATACTGCAGATGATGCTGTAGTATGCGGCAGAGGCCACAAAGAGGAAGAGTACTTTGAGTTCAAAGCTCACCCGGAGGAAGACCCCACACGCAATGAGTGACAGGATGCAGCAGTACACAGAGTACTGAAAGAGACAGGCGAAGAATGAGGTTAGACTGGGGTCAAACAACAGCAACAACAAATCTTGTTAGCGTCCATCGTAACTACATTTTAGAGATATTTGATTACTTTTTGGAGAAAACTTTGTTGTATAACTATAAACAACTTTTAGTTCTTGTGAGTGCCCATAAAATTCTCTTCAACATCATGCTGTGTGGCTGAACGTTTTAAAAGAGATGAATCACACACACCACAAAGAGACATTTTTAAAAGACTTCCGCTAAGTTTAAGTCCAAAAATAGAACAAATTTCAACCGACTATCTATTTACAAAAATCACAGTATATATCACCAAATACAGTATAACATCTGTGGTAAATAACAAGATAATGCAACAAATTCCCGCTCCTCTCATCATGTTTTTATGGCACTCTAGTAAGACACAAGAACATAATTGCAAATGCCGTTTAATCCAGCATGGTATTAAAAAAAATGCCATTTCATTATAGATCAGGGTAAATAAATCCATCACTCACAGGCAGACAGAAGAGACCATCCTTTAATCCCTGCTCACAGGAACCATTTGTGGGACACAGGTTGGCATTATCACTGGAACATTCTGTCACATGAGTCTGGACGAAGCACTGCAGGGGGATCAAACAGATCTGACTGACAGGCAACCACTGGACAGCGTGTTATGAAGTCTGGCACGGCAGCTATGAAGTGTAACACTGCCAGGAATAGCGTAGAGTCGATCATAAGCCTATCTTATCACTTAAACATGTGAGTGTCGTCATACCAGGTTGAACACAGCCAACACAATGATGACGGTAGTGGTGATGGTGGCCAGAGGGAGGCGCACACATGGCCGCTTTACCGCCGCCTCTGACACAGCTGGCAGCCACTGGCACCGCGACAGCTTCTCTGGAAACAGGCGCTGCAGATGATAAAGAGGAGCGAAGAGAAAGATGAAGCGAGGTGGAATCACACGGGTTTGAAGAGAGCGAGAATGTGGCTGTTCACAGCCTGCAGACCTCACATGAAAGTGACTGAGTGTGGGCTATTTTGAGTGAAGGAATCTGTCTGAGAGGAGAACACACTGCATGTTAAGGACCCAGTGTCAGGAGTCACCTGTAAGTTCAAGGTTGGCTATAGAAAGCTACAGCATGTTGAATTCAAGAGACAGACTGACATGTTTCCATTGTCGCATCAGTCCTGACACAGTGACACATGAATGTAAACTATACACATCCTCCCTTCTTCCTTTATTGACAAGCCACCTGCTTCTGTACTATATTTGTGTCAACTTTCGATTTATTAACCTCTTTAATCTGGGCTATAGGTGATAGCCAGATTTGAAACCTTTTTTTTATTAAAAAATAACAATTCCAGGGCTTTCAAGGTGTTACAACACATCACTAAACACTGAAATATTTCCTGTAGACCCCTCTTCTTTCAGACATCCATCCTGTCTGTTCTTCATACTACAAATACACGATTATCTTTCAAGAATTTCACCTTTATTTTCTTTTTCTCCTGCGCACAGAAATTCAATTCATGAAAACCACTTTGCAGTTAAAAACCCATGTGAGTCATGCCTGTGTAATTCAGTTCAGGGTCAGGTCTGAATTATACAACGTGGAAATTTTATATTGAACTACATTTAGTGTGGGCTGTTTTAAAAGCTTTGACAGGTTTACTTTCCTATGAGGTCTTTTTTTCCACTTTCCACAAGTTTGAACATTAACTGGGACACACTGACTGAAAACATGCACTTCAGCTCCCCAAATATCAGAATGGCAAAGTTAACATGGGACTCCAGACACACTGACCTGTAAATGGCTGGCAAAACAGATAGCCATTGTTAGCAGCAGCACACAAACCAAGACTCCGAAAACTGTCCCCAACATCTGTCGACTGAAGGTCAAAAAGAAAAAAACATCAGGCTGTCACTATGACAAAAGTGTTGAGTTTCTTCTGATATTAATGACAAAATGTAAATGTGTTTATACTCACTCCTTTGTGACGAACATCTGAATCACAAAAATGCAGAGGAAGATGACGGTGGCACAGCCAACGTAGTGTTTGAACATTGGCAGATCCAGAGCTCGGTACTAAGAAGAGGCAACACATTAGCCTCTTTCCAACACCAAAATGCATAGATGAAAATGTACAGATACAACATTTTTTATTTAATACATGCATCTTTTTGTTGAACTAACCTGTTTTTCTAGATCTTTCTTTGGGAACCACAGAGCTAAGCTGCTAGTCTCCTCAGACTTTGACCACTGCCTGTGAGAGAAGAAGAAAGGGAAGAATGAAAAGACTGAAGAGAGAAAGGAGAAAGAAAATACATATTTCTGGTATATTTTAACTGTTTCTACAAATCCTGAAGTCAGTTCATGATCACATAGGGTAAATACAGCTGCTACACTGCTGTCTTTGAATAAACACTTCACACAATGTCTTGAAAAAGTTGCAGTGTTTTGAAGAGAGAGTCTCAATTTACAGCGACAGTGTCGTAAAATAAAGATGGCATTCATTTATTATAACAAAAACAATGTGAGCTGCCTCCTGCTAGATGATGTTTCATGTTTCTGTTCATTTCAAATCAAAAACCTTGAAAAAATCTTCCATTTATTTCCACAATATACCATTGTAAACCACAGATGAAAAAAAAAAAACATTAGAGAGGTTTCTATAGTGAAGCAGCATGTTATCTAAAATCCATAAGGAATAAAATACATGAAGTTTTGGAAAAGTGTTAAATACGTAGATATGGAGGCCTTACTTCACCTGCACAGAACTCCAGAAATCCTGCAGATTTAAATGCTTACAAGGTTTCTTTTGGTGCCATACAATGTATCTGAGGTAGGAGTTTAACCATGTTGTAAGCAACTAGAAGATCTGTCAAGGAGAATGCTTAAGGACAGATTTAAATATTTTTTATAAAAAAAAAAACAAGTATGACTTTGTGTACAAAAATTGAATATAATAGCGTTTGTTGCCTTAGACTTCTCTCTGTAATTGTGAGTATCACTGTCAGCACTTTATTAATGTTTAGTGGTAAATTTAATTTGAGTAGTTGTTTAACCTAAATTTTGCTGCAGTGTTTATTTATTCGTGTCACCTAGCCATTCACTGTATTATCCACTGTAGTTGTATTATTGCATTTATAGTATTCAGGATATTTTATCCTACATAAAAGCCTGACCAGGGACAAAGACTGAAAATCACTGTTTTATTCTGTTCTGTACATTTCACAACCTGAAAGCACAAGTCATTGTTCTTACAAAAGATAAACTAAATGCATAAAATGTGATCACCTACTTGCTGCTGAGCTCATCTATTGTAGTTGTCATCTCATTGTGCAGCTCCTCATCAAACTTACTCTTCTGAGATTTGTTCCTGCACCAGAGAGTACGGAGACAATTAATAGAAGCAGACAAACAGACACTGAAAAAAAACACAGACAGCAACAGATGCCTGAAAACTAGATCAGGTCATGCAGGTTATTCAGGGTCCAATTTAGCTGTGCATACCGGCGACTTGGTTAATGCAATTTTGAGCATTAGTGTGAGAAAAAAAGTTTAGATTTGTGCCTGTGAGGGAGCTGTGTGGAGTGTGCCGGAAGCAGAAGTGTAAGATTGTGTCTGTGGGGGTTAGCAGTCGTCTCTCTGCTTCGGCCTGGAAACCCCCTTTTCTATCAGGAAGGAAACACACTCACAGATGCACAGACCCAGATTCACACCAGCCCCAGTCAGTGTTAATAGGAGCATGTCAGTCTGCTAACAGAGGTTTCAGGGTTTGTGATTGCTTTTTGTGATCGCTCACATTGACTGTAGCGATGAGATTAAAGAACAGGATTGCACCACTCCTTGGGTTAGTGTTGGGAGAGCAAGGATTTCCACTTAAGACAGTAGTTCTCACCCTCTGTGGGACCCAGGTAATGATTCAAAAGGTTGGGTGGATAATGATAAATACATAAAGTATGCTGTCTTATCTGTTTTTTCCTGTCATATCAGCATTTATCACAAAAATAAATAAATAAATAAGAGATAAAAAGTTCTTCTAAGAAATGTCGTGAAGCGTACAGATTGCTTGAAAGGTCATTTTAAAAACAGGATGAAAAATTCAAAGAGCTGTCCACACTGAACAAAGTGTCCTCTACCATTTACTTTTTGTTTCAGGAATCACAAGGTCAAAGGATGAGAACTACTGCACTGAGGACCTTGCGAGCCATCGAGGCCCAACTCACTTATAGCTGCTGAATGGAGGGGTGGGCAGGGAGAAGGGTTCTTCTAGAGACTCATCAAAGCTGTCAGGGCCCAATAACAATAAGACACAAATTATAACAACACATCTGTTAGGAGCCAAAAATAAACAGGGTCATTATGTGCGGAAATCTATCAGAAACAGCCTGATATATGCTTCTGAAAGTTCCCTCCTGTTACTTTAAAGACATGGTGCTTCTTAATGTTACCAGGCCTGAGTGGGTGCACCTCACTTTAAATGCAGACATGTTCACCAGCTGCTGCCTCTGCTCCACTGGACTGTGCATAAATGAATGAAATTAATTATTTCAGCGATAACACAGCCCTCTTAACAATGAAATGCCTGCACTTTTAGGAATTCACTTATCTCTTTCAATCACATTTCCACAGCCCACACTGTTGATGTAAGCGAGTCCTGCCCAATAATCAGTGCCTACTCTTTAAATATTACGTACTGGGTGCCAGACAGGAAAAGAGAGTTGACTTTTCAAAATCAAGACAATAATCAACTCTTCTGGGCATTATTTCAGGCTCATGAAAAATTCTCACTGTAGACTCCCAATACCACACAGAGAAGACAGCTAAAGCAGCACAGCTCTAGACCCGCAGTACATAGAGAGGTTCTGATTGTTTTCTTTCCAATACCTTCTGATACCAAGACATGAGTATTGACTGATACAATAAACCACATTGTTACCGGTGCTATAAAAATTTAAAAACATTGAATAATAAATAGTGATTACCCATACTTTTCTGACTTTGTCTTATCCTGTATGTGATGTAGCTCCTGAGTATAAATGCTTGTGATTGTAGCATGATCATTTACCAGAAAGCAGTTGTTCATGTTAAGGGCTGATAAATATGCTATCATAAAGGTATATTAATTGGTGTACTCACCAGTATCCAATAATACCAACCAAATATATGTTTTAGGCAAAAACCAGAAGCTCTATCAGTGATGAAACCTTATTGGCAAGTAATTTATCTGCAGGTTAAAACTAACGCTCAAGTTTCCTTCAACACCTTATTGTTCAAGCTTTAAGAACAGTTTCAGTATTCCTGTCCTCCTCCAGTCGGTTCATCTTAACTGTGTGTAATACTGACCCTCTGATACATTCAGATGCAAATCATTATCATCATACCTGGGGGCAGCCGAAATCTTAGCTTACATAAAAAAATTAACATTATTAAGTTTAAGTGTGTACAGTTGGGCATAATGTGATGGCTGTGGATGATTTAAACTTTAATATGTGTGTTGTGTTACAATTATTGCAAATACAACATAACAGAGTAAATCCCTGTTTTATTACATGAATAAATGAGGAAATTAGGAAAACACTTTTTCTTTCTTGCAGGACATCAAGATCCTATGAAATTATGTGTTGTTACTCTGGCTGACTTCCAGGATGTGTACACGCTCAAGCAAACCCACTCTGAGTTTTAAATCAGAATGGTGACTAAATACTGTACATGTGCCTTAATTTCCTAGCTTTAGCTCTTAAGGTTGCTCATACCTCTCAGTGATCTTTGTGCCAGGAGTTGGACGTAAAGGGATGTCCTGGAACAAAAAAGGACACGGTTCATACCATTAGAAAGCTGAGGGTCAAAATCAAAATACTTCAAGATCCCACAAATTATCTACTATAAGTCACTCTTTGGCTTTTACTTGTCTTGGTTGTGCATCTTAAAGGTAAAGTGCAGCATTGTGTCCACGCAGTTAAAAGACAGCTTTCACAACAGTCTGCAGTCCTTTTACACCGTTACTTCTGAAGTAACCACTATGGCTAGATCTGACTCCAAATCTGTTCACTTTGCTTTATAATGGACTCCAGCTATAAGTGATTGCTACCTTTACAACAAATGAAAATAACAACCTTCCAGCGTGGTTTTCCATTGACAATGCTGTCCGGAGTGAAGCCCTCTCGGTTCTGAAGATGAGCAAAAGGTTTGACAGCCCCCCAGGATTCCAGGTAACGGGTCATTCTGACAGATGCCCGCATCTTGAGACCATCATTCACCCGAGGTTTGGCTGTGCTGCGACTATTTAACGATGGGTCCTTGGACTTGAGAAACAAACAAAATCAAAAGTTGCCAAATCACACCAATACTTCCAAATTATAAAATGGCAACTGTAATTTTAATTCTTGGACAACAACATAAAAAGATGATGCGTTATATTTACTTAACCTATTTCAACAGAATTTAATGTAACATATAAAAGGATCTTTTTTTATTTTACATACATTGCATCGCCATCTTGCTAATTATAGTAACTTTTCTGACTTTTCATGACAATGTTTGTTTTCAGTACAAATATATTAAGGAGTTACCCTGGGATCAACGACAAGATAGGTTTGGACATTGAGCTCTTTTAAATAGGGATCCCTGCAGTGACCGTTGCCTTCTTCCACATCATAGGCATTGTTGAGATGTTTGAGCGTCGCTTCTGTGATGTGAACACGCCTAACAATGAAGCAAAAAGAGGGGAAAGGTGATAAGACACATGGCATGAAGTTATTTTTGTGATTTTTCTAACTTTATAGAGTTTAAAACTGCACAGTAACATTTTTATTATAATAAGCATGGCATACTGCAAATTAACAATCATTACAACTTTGTGTTAAATCAACTTGTGCAAACTAAACTATGCAACAATCCCCAGTAAAAACATGATAAATGGAAACCCAAGCAGTGTATGAGATGGAAAAAGAAGTCATTTTTCAACTTTGGAGCTTAACATTATAAATAATACATCATTTCAATGACTCTGATAAACTGTGATTTCTGATACTCAAGAAAACCAATAATACAATAACAATGGAGACCAGTCTCCTCAAAGTGCAGGATATAATGAGCAGTTTTAATTTTTTACCCTCACAGTGGAAATAAATCGACATGAAATGAGATTTTTAGACACAAATTAAACAAAACCAATTCCAATAACTCACCCTGGAAGGCCTCCTGACTCCATGTGATTGGCCAGCGTGACATCATGTGACCACACATCAAACTGCCACTTGCGAAGGCCAATCACACCGCAGAGCACATTTCCTGAATGGACACCCACTCTCATGTTGATATCGACTCCTGTAGCATCTCGTACCTGCCTGAGGGAGTGTTACAATTGCATCCATAATGTCAAAATGTAGACTCAGTGACTACACTGGCAGACTGGTGACAAGACGGCCATACAGTCTATTATTGTTTTCATAAATCTATTTTTAGTTCTCTGCGTCAATAAACATACAGATTTGCCATTTTGAATTGAACCAATGCATTAAGCTGTGACTGGGTTGAGGTTTTAGTGATTCTCAGTTTTAATAAAAATATGAATGTGACTTATTTCCTCAGTGTTATACTAAAGTCTTATCCTCCATTCCTGGTTGAAAACTATGATCTAGACTTTCTTTTAACAGGTTTTCAAAGCTGGCATGTCATTTACGCCATATACAGTTCAGGGCATTTTTTTCAACTTTTTTTCCCCCACATATTTACAAAACTAGAACAACTGAACCACAAATTCTTGTTTCCCCTGCTTGCTTTCAGCAGTGCTTTAAGAGCTAAACTGAGAAACAAAATACTGCATGTTTCTGTCAGGGCCGAGGATGATGGCTGGCATGGACTCACTTGATGGCTTCACACATGTCCAGACCCATTTTAACACAGTTCTTGGCGTGTTTAGGCAGAGAGACAGGCAGCCCTGACACACAGTAGTAACAGTCTCCAAGGATCTTGATTCTCATGCATTCGTTCTCCTACAAAGAGAAGAGAGGATACAAACAAATAAAGTTTCTGATAAGCACTGAGATATGACTGTTCACATGCCAACATGTCTTCAACCACAGAGCTTTAGCTGTTGAGGTTTCAGTGCCTTGGTTGTGGGTGAATAAGAGGAGAGTGATCCTGTGTTCAGCTGTCCATCAGATTTTTTCCATCTAGTCTGAGGTTTAGCAGAAATCCTCCGGTCACTATCTCTTTACTCTATTCTTTACATAATTACTGCAATAATCAGCTGTCAACTGCAAGTTGAACTGTCTCTGATGTGTACAAAACATTTTAAAGGATTACTCACCTTGGCAATTTGGTCAAACTTCCCAAATAACTCATTAAGCATAATGACAAGCTCTTTGGGGGAACAGTCGCTGGCCAATCGCGTAAAACCCACAATATCAGCGTAGAGAATACTGAAAGAAAACAGGGCAACTACAGTGAGAGAAAAGCACTTACACAAACTGAAATAGACTGAAGAATATCATAAATGTGAGCTTTTGAAAAATCAGATTATTCGTATTTTAACTTAAGTTTATTCTGTAATCCTTTAAAATAAACACACACGTCACACTGTTTGCACACTCAACTGCTGCTGCCTGTCGTCATAACCAGCACCAACCTCTTTAAAAATAAACTTCTAGATACTAAAATAGTATTTATAGCTGCATACGTAGAAAGGAAAACTTGTAAGAAATGTAACTTGTGTATGTTAAGCTCACCTATTAAAAATGAGTCAGGTTTGAGTGAAAAGTAGAGATAGAGAGGCCCAAAGCTTGACAGTTTTTCAGGTCAAATGACTGAGTTTCTGAATCTCACATCCTTCCTCAGACTCCCTGCTGCTGCACCCTGACCTACTGCTTGTCTTCCACTTTTACTTTCTCTCTCAAAAACTTTTCTGTTCTCATGCTTTCAAAGACTTAAAACTCTGGGTCTTTTTTTTATGCTGTTGGTAGTAAATTCCAGTTCACAGATTTAAAGACTCATCTCTGTCATTAGCTAGCAGACAAATAAGACAACGGGGGCATCTTTGGACAATAAACAGTCACTAGAGAGGAATAAATTGTTTCCCTTCAGTGTGGGTTGGACATAATTGTGATCTGGTCGTGTACTTGGAGCCATAAAGCGCTGTGCCTTCCAGATTTCAGCCCAATTTTCTCTACACAGTCGATTTTGTCTGTCCATTAAGACCTATTATACTAGAATGGGACAGAGGAGTTGAAGCAAAAAACTCAACCTTTCACTCCAGTAGACCAGATGAGTGAAAAAATTAAAGGCCTGTCTGGTTTTGTGCTGAATCATAGCTTTGTCACTGTTAAAGCTGCTGGTAAGTGGACCACAGAGAAACGCTTATTTCTTTCTCATTTGACCTGTGAAGGACCCTAAAAACACAAGGAAGAACAGCTGGACGTTTGGCAACGGCCCAACCCACACTGAGCACCTGACCTGCCCTCCCATCTGAGCATGGCTGACCACAGTGGGAACTGAAACTCGAAGCGTTGATATGAAAGTCTCAGTGAACACCATGTTCATGTCAGTGAGCTACAGAATAGCATGCCAAACATTGTGAAACAGTGTGATGAATGCTGTGAACATAAATAACAGCACGGAGGATTAAATTCAGTTTGACTTTTAGCTGGACATCAATGTTCTACTGACACTTTGTTTTCTCTATGATTTGACTGGAACCACAAAGATGCAAGGGTCATATCTATTTGTTGTAGATACACAAAATATCCACTGATGTGTTTGTGCAGGATACAGTTATTCACGGTGCACAACTACAGTCTGGATACAAGTGATCCCGGCATTACTGAAGCTGCCCATCTGCTGACTCGCAGACAAGGACCTCAGTACCCCACCTGCCTGACTGAAGGCTGCCAGGTGCTTCATGAGACAGTATACAGAGCTAATGACTGGTCTGCCTGGACTAATTATAGGGGCAGGTCAGAGAAGCAGCCTATCATTCAACACCATCTCACTGTGGGCCTGACTGAACATGACTTTTGTCTGCACACTGACCTCTTCATCAAAAAAAAGAGTTTTTTAATTATAACATTTCAAACAACTAGACATCTTCATGAGCACCAGACTGGAGTTACTTTACCATCCATCATTTACTTTATGTGCTTGTATTTACTGTGGCTATTTCAGTTTCAATCTTATGACGGTCCTAGTTCACAGAAAATGTCGAACTAAAAAGCCACAACTCTTTTTTCAACTCTTTTCCCAGGAAGAAACTCTGGAATGGGATTTGCTAAATGACGTACTGAAGAGACTAAATCTTGACCCCAAAGACAAGAGTGGTTGAGCCATCTGAGCCAGAGTTCAGTTTAAGCTGACCCCATAACCCCACAACTATCAGCACAGGCCAAGTTAATGAAACCATCGCAAAACAAAGAGCTGTAACTAGGTCACTGCTCTGTGAACAAAGAGTCATACCACAATAATCTCCATCATTTCAAGAAGCAATCAGGAAAATCTGCTTTAAGTATACAACTTTTTGTTTTCATCCCATGATTTTAAGTGACGTTCCCAGAAAAGAGATGATATTTTAAGCTTTGCAATATCAAAGTAAAACACTGTTTCTCAAAAAGATGGATTGGCTTTTAGAATTTCGAGAAATATAATACCATGCTCAAAATTTTGTTTTGTACGAAGATGGTTAGATGCCAAACCCAGTTTCTGACCTTAAAGATGTCAGGTTCATGCTTCAAAAATCAATTACAAAATATCTCGAGGATGTGGAAAGATTTTGAAATGTCCTCCAAAGGAATTAAATCGAACATTTCTCATAATTGCATGACCAGTAAATGTACGCCTACAGGATGGATTAACCATTTCTAACAATGCTGCATGAAGAAAATTTCCGGCTCTCGTTGTCTTTATAGAAGGTTTAAGCTTGTACCTGACATTCTCGTGCCTCTTGACATAAAGACTGTGAAAGTTGTTATCTTTGACCAATCTTTGTTGCTCCTCTTTGTCCTTACAGTCCTGCAGACGCTCCATGATTGCCAGTTTCATCTTCATGGAGATGTAGACCGGCAGCACGGACTGCAGCAGGTTCTCCTGCAAAAACAACCATTACCCACATGATTACAATCACACGAATTTAGGATCTCCAGACTCCCTAATTAAATGTTAACTATGAACTCTTCCACTGCTGAGTTGAATAAAGCACTTTTCAGTTCTCTTTCTGTCTAATATCTTTTATCTCAATATTTAAAGTGCTAAAATTTCTCTGTATTTCTTCTTTGCCTCTCTTTGACTGCACAGCTGTTCTGGCAGTTCTGTCCCCACACATTTTACGTTTTTCAAAAAGGAATTGACAAAAAAAGGACCCAAAATGTTGAAAAGGGTTTTGAAAGTGTGGTGGTATCAATAAAGCCGACTTGCTACCCTCATGGCCAGCAGTCGGAAATATTACATAATGAGGAAGAATATTACAGACTGAGCCAGGATGGAAATGCATTAAGTAATGAGGGTCTGGTTGCAGGAAGAGCCAAAGGCCTGTTCAATGGCTTGATTCAGGCAAAGATCTGAAGAGGCAACTTCTCAGGAAATAATAAATCCCTTTTTATCTTCACAGAGGGGTGTCAGGTAAGATCATCTCACCACATTGGCTGAGTCAAGGTCTATTACGAAAATAGGTTTTTACATAACACAGTGAACGCAGAGAAGAATTCACAAGTGGATGTTTAAAGAGATGAATGCATACGGGAGCAAATAATGATAACTGAAGGTATGAGACAAAAACAACGTGTGTTTGTGAGTAAGAGTGTGTGCACAGAGGTGCCACAAGGTCAGTGTTTTTTTTTCCACTTGATAGAGGAGAGCACTTTTATGACATTGATGAGAGGATTCTTGTCCTTACAAACAACTGCTTACTACACTCTCAGTTTTATTTTGCAGAGAAAGTGAAAAGAAAGCACAAGTGATGATGGGAGGATAAATAAATATAAACCTTTCTGTTCCAACCACTGCATTTGCTGATTGTGACGACAGCACATGATTGAAAACCTGCGTTTGTCTTCAATTCATCGGCATAGTTGGTGTCATTTTGTTCAATAATACCAGCATTACTTTTTCTACTCTGAAAACTGTGATTATAGACAAACACATAACTCAGCACATGCTTTTATACCCATATACCCACAACTAAATCTTCATCTTTACACAGGAGCTACCTTCTGACCTTCTAGTACATAAATATACCAAACGATAGGGATTATCCATCAATATATTGCTCGAGACTGGTCAAGTGAAATGAGGACTGAATGTGTGCTCTGTTTAATTTCTAGCAGATTTAGTTTCGCTTTTAGCTGGGCTGACAAAGTACATCACATTCTTTTTCAAGCATTTACCATCTTCACCTGGTGATGTACTGTAGGTTATAGTCCTGTCAGGATAGAGATGTCTCTGTGATCAAATATCTCAGAAGAAACTCCTCAAGACACCTTCTCTTTTTATTTATCCTCTGTCTTTATTTAAACGTTAATAGAGCTCATAATACCTTTCATTTTGGTGTGATGCCACAACCACCTCATTTTGTGGCATGCAGAATGCTTGATATGGTCACAGACTTGTGCTGATTATTGGCACACTTTGCAATCGTTCAGAGGACCTTTAATCAGCCCACAGGATCTTGTGGTTTAACATGTCATAATTTTCCATCAGGCTCTTGGCTGCAAAAGCTGTCACAAGCCTTTTATTTCCCTGGAGTGTTTTTGGCTGCCCTCCAGGTTGTACAGAAATCTCAAGGACTCACAATCCTGACATCACTCCCTTATTTAATTTGTATTGTTATGATAAAAAAGTGAATTTGTTTTCACTCAAACAATGCAGCCTTTTACTTTTTCATTGCTTTTTGGTAAAAATAACTAAAATGAAGACAAAATAGAAATGAATATCTTAAATAAATTTTCTAAATATAAAATAATGACACCTGAATGAGAAATGTATCTGTGTTGTCTATCCAGACTTTGTGAACAAGCGTGTGTGTGTGTGTGTGTGTGTGTGTGTGTGTGTGTGTGTGTGTGTGTGTGTGTGTGTGAGGGTGAGAGAGTGCTGACTCTTTTGTGGTGCAACGAGACCTGCCCACATGCACTCTGACTGACCCCTTACAGGGTTCAAATGACACTTTCATATAACATAAAACCTTCTCACTAAATGAGTTGAGAGTAGAAAACTGCATATGCGACACAACATTTTGTGTTGCTGTGTGTGTGTGTGTGTGTGTGTGTGTGTGTGTGTGTGTGTGTGTGTGTGTGTGTATGTATTTTGATCAAATGAAAATACATTTGGTCTCTTATTATTGTTATTACCTGTGTGTGTAAAAATACGTTAGCCTTGATTTAAGAGTGGAGTGTTAGTGCCATTCAAAAGTCATTTTTGTTATCTTCACACCCTGCCAAGACACATTTTAATGGGAACATACTCCTGTTAAAACTAATGCAGGAACACATTGTAAGTTCTTCACTGGTTCCCCATTTGGAGAATTTCTATCGCTTTTTTTTCCCTGTGTTTTTACGTCCTCCACTGTTCTTATTGGCAAACTTTGTATTAAAGTCTCCCTCATTTCAGACCTAATTCAGATACAACTGAAAGTTTATATTTTAATAAGAATATCATTCCTTCCCTTGTGTTCTGCCAAGCAACACAAGAGCTTCCCTGTCAGCACATTTTATGACCCGTCCCAAGTAACAGTCATAACAAATGACAAAAGGGGAACATTAGTTTTAAAATGTCTCTGTAGTCAAAGCAAGTGAGCACAGATGCGTTTAATTTAAAAGGTATCACAGAAAAATCTAATTTGAAAAGGATTTGTTAGTCCCAATGAAAACATCCATGGGAGAGTCAACAAGAGGTCCGCCAAAGGCAAAGCTCAGGGAGGGAATAAAATTATTAAGAGCATGGCAAGAACAGTTAGCAAAGAGCTAACTTCATTATTTGTGTTCACTGTCTCTCCCATTCAGTGAGGAAGATGTGTCACATTTAGTTTAAAATTTACAGTGAGCTTTATCATTCTTATGACACAGTGGTAGGCCATCAATTCTAACTGATGGAGAAGTTATCAGATCTTTCATAATCAAAATATAAAATGTAAGATTGCTCAATAAAAGTCTGTGTTCAGAGTATATGGGCTTCCTTCAACCAAAGCTGTATTACAGGAGGGGCCCACTTCATAATCCAAAAGTATTATTAATAGTTATGCTCTTTCCTATTCATGATTTGTTTGATTCGTATGACTTACATCATAATTACATCAATCGTGTTATGTAAATGTATCTTTTTTAGCATTTCATGATCATGCATGTGAACAATAATATTGATCTCTACTTGGCTGTTGTGGTAGTTTGTGTTTTAACAGAAATTTACTAAAAAATGAATCATAATTGAACATAACTATGTAACGTACTAAGCCTTTGAAAACTTTAACAGACTTTAAGATTGAATAGCGTTTTCATTTGTTTGTATGTTTTTAAATATATGTTTTTAAATATATGTTCAAAGACAATGAAGAACACCGACCTGTTGTCTCTTTTCAATCTCCAGCTTCATTCGCATGCTCAGGCATCTCAGTGTGTCTTGAAAAGTCTGTCTCAGGGTTTTCTCCATCAGGACTTTGTGGAAGGCTCCCACCACACTGCCGCACAGAAACACCACTGCATTGGACAGCAGCTGCAGACACAGACGGAGCAGCAGATGTTAAAGCATAAATGCAAACACAGGTATACGTTAACATGAAATTTTTGTTATTAGTTCTATTGACAATGGTATAGACTCATTGATAAACTTGTCGTTAAAGTGATTACTAACTTTTTTTTCCCCCTTGTACTTGTGGAAGTGTTCATCTAAACTAATGGTCTATCTTGTAAGGCAAGTCTAGCACATGGACTACATCATATCACTTTCCCAATTTTTGCAATACATTTTTATGATTCATAATAATTTTTTATTTATACTTATGATTCAATCCAGAGATAATTTTTTTAATAAAATATTTGACATAAATATTAACAGCAGATTAATGTTTACACATAAAACATCTGTAGCTTCAAAAAGACAAGAATTGCCCATAAAGTAACTCATATTGGCTTTTGAGATATCAACCCAGAGCCACAGACTGATTCACAAGCATTGCAGGGGTATTTTCACAACACATTCCCATATTACCATACAACTGGTTTTACCTGGTTGGCAAGGTAGGGACTGGTCACATCATTGTAAATGGTGAGGCGCAGTGTGAGGACCAACATGTGGGACAGTGAGGTGATGACGCTCAGGACTACAGCGTACCACAACTGGAATGGCAGCATAGTGTACACACTAAAGATGATGAAGAGGAAGAAAGGCACCTGGAAAACAAAGGTTCAAGTATTTTCAAAAAGATGCTGAGCCATGATTCAGTTGAGTTCTGTTCAATTCCCCATTAACTGGCTCATTCAAAGAAGTCTGGTGCCTCAGAAGTGAGACAAAAGTGAACATTTTATATGTATAAGATGTACAACAGGCTAATTACAGCAAACATAGTCACTTACTACTTACACATAAGAGTATTGCATTAACAAATTCAATGGTCACTATACATTAAATTATTTGAAATGAAAAATATTCAAGACCTTAAATTGAGATCTACCATCAAAAAAAAAAAATGTTTTTTTTTTACTTCACAGATTTTTGACCTCCTTCATGCAAGCAACTTTTCTTGTTATATCGGAAAAGTTGAGGTTACCTGGTCCCAAGGCAGGATTATTGGTCCGCTGAAGATAAAGGTATAAGCCATGGTGAGGTGTGTGGCCCAAATAATCAGGCCCAGCAGACGCCTCCATCGCTGTGAGAGCATCTCTGTGCACACCAGCACAAACACAGCCAGGAACACACACAGGCTGCCGCTCACCACGCTCACAAAGGCACTGTGTTTCTCTGCACTCTGCTCCAGCAGCAAGGGAGAGGGAGAAAAATAAACACACGTGTTTGATGCAGTCTTACAGTCTTTGGTTTCTTACGGTTAATACGGATGATGGTTCCTCCTGAGAGGTTACATATATTTGCTGCAAATACAGTTCGCGCAATGACATGTAATGAAATATAAAACACTTTTTCAAGAGTTAGTTGTGTAGACTATGCAGTTGGTGCCTTAAGCCTGGCACAGTGGTCACACACTGAATAAAAAATGTATTACAAAATGTCTGAAAGTAATATGATGTAGTTATTTGTGCTAGACTTGTACTACAAGCTACAGCCTCTTGTTAGAGGTGAACAGATGAGCACTTTCATGAGTACAACAGAAAAGAAATACTGCTTGCTTCAACACACTTGTGTACTGTCTAGATGTGTATTTCTATGTATGGCAAGTTTATCAGTGAGTCAACTAAGAGTCGAATGACTTAAACCCTTTAAGGTATGTTATTTGTTTTTAACTACATGTAGTTATTGCATGTGTTTCTTATGAGTATGTTTACTACAGCCAGACCTGAGGTTTAAACAGAGAAAGAAGCTCCTGATAAAAAATGATATTCATCCGGATCAGTAAAGCCTCTGCATGTTTAGTTTCCTCACAATTGTCTGAGCACCATGTCCTGTTTGCTCCAGGCCACCATCTTCCTGATTGAGTTACTGTACAGTGAGAGGCAAGCATCTTACTGGAAGACAGTGTGCAAATGTGTTTGGCTGGGGGTGTTGGCCTGTACATCTGTGTATGTGTTTTGTTTTCTTTTCTGTTCATGGTAATTCATGCATGGAGGTAAACTGCACAAATGCATTGGTGGCTGTCTTAGGTGTGTGGGAGTGAAAAGAGTAGGTGTTTGAGGTAAAGCACAAGAAAAAAGACGGGGTTAAAAGAGCGCTCACGATTGAGACAGATGCACAAAGTCAGCGTTAATAGAGCTCTGCTCAGAGAAGGCCATCTCTGCATTGTATGGTGAGCTTTCTGGTTACCATGGCAGCGTTGGAAAAGGCCAGATCTCAACTGAAGCACTTTCTACTCCCTATGTTGCAGTGAGTCTTGACAAAAGATTTTTGTAGGCGGAAAAAGAACAATTATTTTATATGAATAGGAGCTAAGGACCATGTGAGCAAGATACTGCTGTATTCTTCAACATGTGGCAAACCGAGGACTGAAGAAATCGAGTGAAACAAAAAAGACTTTTCTGTAGTGTTTGCATATTATTCCAAATTCACAATGAATCATCTTTACTATACACCATGTACTATCTGTGTTTGTGTCTGATTCTGACTGAAAGCCTTGACAAAATAGATGAACTATAATGCTACAGTCATGCTGTGTACTCCAAGTCCATTATTCTTTTACACTTATAGTCCTGTTGTCCTTTCTATGTAAATAAAAGAGGCATGTTGGGAAAATAGTAACATCTTATATAAATTGTAAAACAAATTCCTCTAACAGACCTCAGGAGCACAATGACCCATTGTAGTTAAATCAAATCTTAAGAGCCCAGGCAACAGGCTGCTTAATATCACCTCTCCATCCAATCAGAGGCTGACGCCATGGCCACGAGTGGCACTTGGAAAATGGGCTCAGTCTGTTTTCCTCTCAGCACGGCTCTTCATCTGATGTGGAATGGAGAGTAGTTATATAAGTTGACAGTGACTTTTTGACACTGGTAACCACCCCCTGACAGGCACCCGGCCCCTCCTGTACATTTAACAACTCTGTTATACAAGCTCCAACCCAGCATTTTATCCTGACTCTCCTGTACTCCTAGCAACTGTGTTAGTGGAAAAAAGGCTGAGAAGAAAGAGGACACGAGGGAGTGGGGGGGATGATACATGATCCAAGAATGGATGGAGGCACAAGTGAAGAGGTGAATGTTGCATTAAAAACACCATGGGGAAATATTTCAATACAAGAGAAATTGTTTGTGTTTGTTCATATGAGCAAGGGGTTAAATATACACAGACTTGTACATAAAAGAGAGATAAAGCCACTTAACTGAGGTTTGTCGAGAGTGAAAGATCTAAGCATACAATGATGGGAGGGGGGGGGGGGTTATTCCAGGAGCTCAGCAAACACAATAGAAGGAAGGCTAAGACTGTTTCTCTGACAAGGGAAAGTAAATTAATCTGTGATGATGACAGAGGCTGTGAACTTACTGTATGAACTGATTGGTAACCCTGCTATCTGCCACCATGCCAAAATCAACAGCATGTCTCTGATCAGCCAAGGTCAATGAATGTCTGCCTTTTCCTGTCAAAGTCAGAGCACTCTCTTTGACACACTTGGTCAGTCAAACTGTTTCACTCATCCAGTCTTCAACCTACTTTACTTCAGCAGGTTTGGGTTGCCAATGCAGCAGAGAGACTGTTTGATTCTAACCTCATCCTATGTTGACTAATTCTCAAGCAAAACTGAAGCACCACCTTCTGCAGGGCAACTACTCTGTGACTCTCTACACAGAAAAAATGAGAGTTCCCTTGTAGGATATTCAAAGTCTCGTTTGCAAACATGTGCCTTGTGTTCTTTAAAAGCAGTATTTCTGAGCTGCCTCCTCAACTTCTCTTCTCTAGGGAGAACAAATTGAAAACGTATTTCCTATTTTCATGTCGATATCAGAGAGATGTCCTCCTTCACATGCAAACTGTTACACAATCACTCCCTCCTTCATGCTTCCGGGTAGCTGCACTGGTAGTGAAAGAGAACTACTCGTAAATTAAGTGCTTTATTTAAGTAGCTTTGAAGAAGATGTGGGAGATTTTCATTGTTACATTTTCCATGCCAGCCAAGGGGTTTAAACTGACCACCTGTTGAAATGTACTTTTTAAAATATCATGCTGTTGCTGCAGTCATAATGAACCCCTTTAGTCCTTTTAGTCTATTCAAGTCAAGAAATCCTTCCTTTACCATTAAAGCTACAAGAAAAATGCTAAAATTCACGGTTATGAATATCTTCAGTCATTCTCAATGTTTTTTGGTAAAGCTTGATCACAGCTAGATCTTTGTCAAAGCAGACAGACATGTCAAAAAAGGAAATACAGGAATGTGCATCCTGATTTTGTGTATAATGTCTCACGTAAATGGTTTACGGGAGCAAATCCGCAACCAAAGCCAACACAGAGGGCACTCATCCTCTGATTTCCCCTGATTCACCTGGGGTAAAAACTAAATATGTCTTCTGTGGAAAGGTCTGTAGACATAAAAATCTGCTGATTCTGCTAACTTTTATCAAACTATTACACATGCACAGGAGACCTAGACCAATAAATCAATAGATATCAGTCCACTGCAGACAAGGCATATTGATTTGTTGGCTAACAAGTAACAAGAAAAACTCAGTACAGAAATGCAAAAATGGGTCTGATGTTAGTTGGAGACACCCTAAAGTATTCACAAACTTCATCTTTGACTGTAAAATCCCATGCTTGGTCGTGCCTTATCTGTAATTTAAATGAAGAAGAAGTATCATCAAGATTGTTATGTAATGTGTTTAATGTGGCTGATATCTGATATCTCAAGCCTCAATTCATTACTGGAGGGCTACAATCAACAACTAATTTCCTATTACATTTATTACATTACTGTAATTGTAGAGGTTTTTTCTTATCTAAAGCATACTGGCTTGTAATTACAGAGGTAATCTGACTATGACAGTGTCTTTAATTTGCTTATCAGCCATAATTTTATCAATGAGCTTTCAAGAGAAAAACAACATAGACTAGACAATTTCAGGATTGATTTTTACAGCGAGCCTGGAGCCAATGTTGTCTCTTAGTTCTTACCCTTTGCACAATGTACCAGAACCACTCTGTATTAAACTCTTAATGAGGAATAGTGTGCTGACCTGCCTAGTTTCAAGACAGGAGTACACAGCTGAAGCTATGTTCTCTGTTTGTAATTGTATGGTGATAAGAGAGGCCATCTGGTTGATAAGTTTAACCTAACAGGAAACAGCACTTTTAACCATGTTTTTGATCTAATTATGATAAATGAGCACAATGTCAGCAACAGTCGGAAATCTAGACCTAATTTCAGTGCCAAGCCTTTCACTAGCCATCATCTTGTTGTGCAATTTGTCCCTGTGTGTACTCTAAGGTCTGAATAATGAGGGAGTTAAATGACATGCCATGGTACGATAGAGCTGTCTTTGATTTCAAATGTTTGTAGCACCAACTTTTGCCTTTTTACAAACTTACCTGTGCACATCTACACACAGTATTAGTCTCTGACCTATGGTAACAACAAGGTGATGATTGGGAAAGACTTTGGTTTTCATGACTTTTTCAGGTGAATGCAAAGACTTACCAGTCCAAGTGCAAAGAAGATGATGAGGAGGCTCCCACAGGACAACATGGAGAGGCCCAGCAGGAGCACCAGTGGCTGATACTGGCTGATGCAGGAGAATTTGCGATAAAGCGCCTCATTTTTCAACTCTTGGTCATTCAACAGGTACTTCCCCTTCGCCGGCATGGCTCAAACTTTTTACACAGGCATATCAGGTGTGAAGCCCCTCAAAGGAGTATATGTCTCCACAATTATGTGTGATTCAGAGGAGAGGAATCCAGAAGTTTGTTGGGAATAACTCCACAGTTTCAGACCTGTTTGGGACCTTTGCTAGCTCATGACGCACAAGTGAAGCTTGTCTTTTTCCTTCAGCGTGGCATCTTCAATACTGTAGCTCTATCCACCAGTCGTCCTCTCTGTGTGAGTCTCTCTCTGATTCTCTTCCCTTCACTAGTCCTTTTGTGTTGTCTATCCTCAGTCTGGTGTTGGCAGGCAGGCCCCCTTCATCCTTTGCCAGCTACTGTGTTGCTCCCTTCAGTGGGTTTGAGTAATAAGCCCAGGGCTGAGAGACACAGAGGAGTAGGGGAGGGGACTTTAAGAAAGGGGAGGAGAGGGATAAAAAGGAAGAGCAGGAGGAAAACAGGAGCTGGTGAGGGCAGCAACAAAGGTCATCAGTGATTCCACGAGTTTTAAGAGAAGTCATGGAGTTGTTAGCGGTGCAGCTCCCCCCCTTGGAGGATCCTGGAATGAAAGGACAGGACAGAGGAAGAAAAGAAAGCATTAAACTTAAAGTTTGGAGACATCCCTTATCTAAAAATACACGGCTCAAGTTCAAACTTTAAAACAAAAGACGAAATTTTGATTAAACCGTGGCAATGTTTTCACAGACACATAAAACAAGTATGCCAACACTGTAAAAGGCCAGAATGTAATCAAGCCCTTCATGTGACTCACTGGGGATAGTGTGAGAGTGAGACAAAAATATCCAGACCAAGAATGAGTTTTTGCTTACTCATACCTGAACTCCTAAATTTCCAAAATCTAGAAATCCCCATCGCTGTTTGCCCCAAGGTCCAGGTTCATTTTGGCCAGACTTTCATAGAAAGCTGCCGTAATGATGGGCTGCACTGCTAATGAGAGCAGTTTGCTTTGGAGCAGTTCTCTAAACAAAACAACGTTGTGGAATGAACTTTCATACAGCCACAACAAACCAGACAAAGCTCTTCATTTTCCCCCAGCTGAACCCCCAAAGACGACAGATCCACAGCTGAGGTTACCAAAATAAAAAGAGACAACGCAGGCATAAAAATAAGACACTTGGTGCGAGAAGAGCTGCAATGCATGTCTGTATTCACTTACAGACATGTACCAGAGGTCATAACCCCTCAATGCTTTGTTCCTGAAAATTTGAGGATGATCAGTGTTGAAAAAGCCTATGTACTTCCGGTTGAGCAACGAAGCCAATGGCAGCTTGAAACGTGAGCTCCTGCCACTTTGGGGGAAAATCGACTTCCCCGCGGATAAAAATGTAAAATTCGTAGATAAATATTCTGAGTAATGAGCGGGAGAAGTAAGCGGAACACACAACAGACACGAAAACTCCAAGCTGGCACAAGTAAAGAACTTTGTATGGATGAAAACTCCGCCGACAGCATGCTAAGTGCTGATACCGAAATGCTGCACGAGGTGCTAACAAACATAACGAGAGAAATAAGAGACCTCAAACAAGAAATAGAAGTCGACCTTGCGACATCCAAGAAAGAATTTAAAGCTGATTTCCGACAAGAATTTAACACCTTTAAGGAGGAAATGGATTAAAAAACTGTCAGCCAACAACAAGGAAATACAGGAGCAGAGACAAAGTCCATGTACAGGCAAACAAGTGTCTTTTCTCATCTCATATTCAACAATTTTATCGATAAAGCTCCTTGGTTGTCATAACTTAAAGTTACGATCATAAACCAACTGTAAATACCTGAAACAAAACCTGCTGTATGAACAGTTTATCCTCTCTTTATTTGGTCAGGGACCTTCGCTGTATGTACTCTACTCAGTCTGAATGAAGATACCTGGAAGATCTTGTCAAAGCACACACTGTAGATATCTCTTCAAACAGTCGGTGCCTTTTTGCCGAGCTGCAGGAAGATGTTCAGGATCAATAAAGGAGCTCCAGAGTAGGCAAGGGCAGGAATGTCGAGATAAAAACCCAAAAAACAAAGAGGAGGATTTTCATTTCGCTGTCCTGCTGTCATTGAAGATACCAACATGCATGTAGTAATTTAAATGAGAGGAGGCGACAATTGGCTTGAGGCTCAGCAGAAACAACATGAACTGCTGTCAGTAGAAACTCAATTTCCTCTAGTTGCTAATATCATTGTGTGCAGTGTGTGAGTCATTGTCTTGTGTTTGTCCCTCAAATAGCAACTGCAGCGGATGCTATGTGCCATAAAAGCTGAAAAGTGAAGCTGAAAAAGAACACACACACACACACACACATAAAAACACACACATATACACACATACACACCTGTTGCATTGTCAAAAAATGTGGAGTCATCTTCAATGCCTCTATCATGCTGTGATAAAAAAGCATCACCACTCTGAGCATTTTTACAACATTGCCTAAAAAGTTCACAACCATTCTCCCTTTCACTCATGGAGCTGGACAGGACAGCAGCATCCAGCTCTCGTCAGCCTCACATGAAACACCATAAACAGTAAGGAAGCTGTAAAGTTAAGAGGAAGAGCGGGGGGGGGGGGGGGTAGCACAAACTGATAGTGTCTTTGTCTTTCATGAATGAGAACCAGCTACAACCTGCAACAAGGAAGCCATGAGTGAATCTTTACATTGAGGGAATCTTTTACTCTCAGTAAGAACAAAATGCCATGTCCACATCTTAAACTTGGGAATGTGTGCATGAAGGGGTGACATACATCCTTAACAATATGTCACAACAAATGTCCTAATGCGTGGTAGATAGAGCATTACAATGCACAAGTCAGGTGAATAGTTTTTCATGGTTATATGTATGGAAAAAAAAGCATTCTGTCACAGATCAGGAAAATAATTAAGACAGTGGCAACACTTCAAGCTTCAACACTTCAAAAACAAGCAATTCTATTGATAAGATTAAGAACAATGTCATGAAAAGCAGATGAGATCTACTCACAATGAGCACATTTACTCCACTTGCACATAGGGACAATACAAGTGAGGCGAATGACGCAATTGAAGCTCAGAGTCAGACAGCGTCCGAAGAGTTGCACCAAAGCTGTTCTCTTACCTGTGGTGGACCACAGTGCTTTTCTTGTACATTCACTGATCAACCTTTCTATTTAGAGGAAACTACATGAGGAAGTGAAATGAAGTTTTAGAAAAACAACAGCTATTGGCTGTTAGTTCTATATTGGGGATGTTTTTGCTTTAACCTTTGTTCCAGTGAACGACTCTCTGCATTTTCATTGTGCCTCAGACTCTCGGTGAAACACAGATCAGCCAGAATCTGACAAGACTGAACATGACCTGGAAGCAAGCACAAGTGCAATCCTGTACCCAAACCACAGTCCTCTGAGCTTGTCTGCCCTATTTTAAATGTCTGTATACCACATGTAAAGAAAGTAAAAGGTTGTTAAAAATATCCAATAATTATTGATCAAGCCCAGGTCACATATGGACGTCATCGTGTAGGGGTTTGTCCATTCATTTGACACTGCATTAACTCCCATTTAGCAGATGTAAAAGCTTCAGACCCTGATGATCTTTTAAAGCCTTTACTCTTCAGTTACCATGGCGAAAAGCAACATTGTCAGACATGTGGTTTTGGTTGAACATAGAGACAGAGATGTATGCCTCAATAGAGCCGAGTTTCTCAACAAGTGCCGATGAATAGCTGAAACTGTGCTGCATTAACTGCTTGGTCTTTCACTATGAAAACTTGGCAGTTGAGGGAATCACACAGCAGCCTTGTAAACTGGCATCACTGAATGCTGGCAAAGCAGCAATACAAAACCCACTGAGGTCACTGCGAGCCTGCAGCTGAGACACATGAGCACACAGGCCCTATCCTCAAAGAAAAGAGGATGTGGAGTGTGACAGACACTGGGAACCCTGTGTGTGTGTGTGTATGTGTGTGTGTGTACTTGACAATTAGGTTGTCAAGCACAATAAACAGATTGATGGTGCCTTCAGGATCTTTTGTTTGTGTTCACAAGATAAGTCCACCCTCTTGTCAAGTCATGATCTTGTAAGTGAAAGTTTCCTGGAAGCATGGACAGGACATGTTCAAAAGTAGGACATGTTTGTTGATGTTTGTAGGAATAATGGGGGTCTTAGAAATGTATTCTGTGATAGATGCGAAGTTAATATAATGTTTTTTTTCGTGAAAGGACCGAAATTATATTTCTTTCAGCACAATCTTTTCCCTTTGTCATGGTTTTTACTTTCCTTACATTACATTTTCCACTTGCTAGATAGTCTTCTATTGACTTTAAAGTCTGGAAGGCTGAACTGGACTTGACAAAACATGTAAAACATACTGAATGCTATTTTACTCATCAATATTCTAGTCTACATGGGAGATTTAGGTTAGAACTCATATTTGCATTATATCAATCCAGGGCATTGCGTTCAGAAGACTGTAAAAGCTAATGGGGTGACATGTTCAGTGACATGTTTAGCATCCAAGGAAGCAAAGCAGCAGCAGGTGACTGACAACTTCTGGACCGTCCAAAACACCAAACTAAGCAGACGCTTAACAGAAAGCAAAGTAAATGGAGGAGCTTCTCTGTCTCTCGGCTACACACAGTAAATTCATTTTCCTTTGAGTGAGAGGGATGCTTCACTTTGTAGGCTCTACTGTAAATTGCATTCACTTTGTGGTTGAGGAGCTGACTTTCAGCTTATATCGATTCTTTTGCCACCTGTGACTAAGAAAGACTAAATGGTTGTAGAAGATTCATTGCAAGGAAAGGGTGATTGGTTTTTGAACCACAGAGGTGTCATTTTCTTTGGACTGGTCAGTTTACATGTTGTCTGAAAATGGTTAAACAGTGTCTACCAAGCCAAGTAATGGATGAAAACAACTGATAGGTAACAAACGAATCTTTTTTCAAAGATGGGATCCAATCCTCTTTAAAGCTACGCCCACTTCAAAGCCTTTTCTGTGAGAGCAAATAGGCAGATCTCTTTCCTAAGCAAATCACTCTGCTTTTATGGCCGTCTTTGTGTTGGCATTCAATACGCTTGGACAAAAAAAAAAAGGACAAAGAGTGACCTCTGTGAAAGAAAACAGCTAACCACATTTTTCAGCCCAGAGTGAGAGGCAATGGGGGTAAAGGTCAGCTTAACCAAAGGAAACAGACTCTTAGACATCAGCTAGAATTGGCTCTATTCCATCGAGCATCCAGTAAAAAAATAAGCCTTTTGGTCCTGAGTCCTTTCTTTTCTTGAACTTTTGATCATAACGGCGGTTTTTAGTCTAATTCAACTCATTCATGCGACAGGCTATCATTGGTTGGCACCACTCAAAAAGATTGTGTGATGCAGTGTGCAAACAACAGAAACAAACATTTAAGCTAATACTTATACTTAAGCTAGATTCTCATTTACTTTCCAAATGTTTTTAATTATAATTTCAGTCCTCTATACCATCTTCCTCGTACATGTCCACACTTAGTTTCTTTATCTTTTTCTGTCTACTTTATTTAGGTTGACTGTTGCAGTATCATTAAACCGCTGCTGTGTGTATTGTCTATAATCAAGACTCACTCACGAGACCATAAATATCCCCCCCAGTATCTTCAACCCAGTACAAACTAGGATCTTGTTCTTAGGGTTGAAACATTAAGGATGCACCCACATTAGGCCATGTATACCAATCTCAGGGACATTTAACCCCTTAAGTCCAGTTTGTTTGGCCAGTATGAGTGCTCCATACCAACACTCTTGGAAGACGTGGACTTTTGCATGATACAGTTGCTCATACATGCGCACTAGCACAGTCCAGTGAAGCACCGGATCCTGCCTTCACCATAACAGCACACGTCACAATTACATAGTGTTACAGATAGATAAACATTTAAAACTTTTGATGATTCAGCTGTGTGGTATTTTAATTTCCTTGATACTTCTAAATGAATCTGTATCTAATCTAATCTATGATTGGGAAATTGAAGGTGTCTCAACTGTCCAGCTTAGTCAAGCTATGGCTAATAATACCTTTTATGCTATAATAAGCAACTTAACAAAACCAAATTACCCTGTACAAGAGGTAAATTCTACCTCAGTCAGAATTTGGTTGAGGGCAGTCTACCTGAGTAATGTAGTGCAGAAGCTTGCTTATACACAGATCCTTTCCATAAAAAGATGACTTATGTATGTGCAGCAATGCACAAAGAAAATTAGATTAGGCCTCCTGTCCTTTCTCATCTACCCTGCTTTCCTCCCAGTACTATCCACTGGTATTGAATTAGCCCCATTTGCCAGAATGAGCTGCTGAGAGCTAACAATATTAACAGGATGCTATCTCAGCACTGGTTTAAGCTTCAAATGCCACTGACTTTTAATAAATACAGGAAGTGTAAGCAAGAATAACACATGCTTAGATGATGCTTTGAGCGTGTATGTATTTCCACATAAGCAAGCTGAGTCACACTGCCACAAATATAGCTATCAATTTTTCTGCTTGACAGGAACATAAGTGCAAAGACAGCCTGTTGATCAATAGATATATACTACTACATTAAGTACATGTAGGAAATCAAACACTAAAACTGAGATTGAATTAGACTATTCCATATTTACACTATAGGTGTGAAACACTTGCATGGTCACACTTGAAAAAGATTGTCTAATGTTATTAATCCCAGTTGCATTAATGCAGGTAAAAACGGAAAAAAGTGACACAGTGACAGATGAGTCCACAGTAGGTTTTGTTTCCTTTTGTTGGAATTTCTTTCTTCAATGATAACTCATAAAGAAATGAACTTTTCAAGAAAAACAGAGTGGAAACAATCTGATCCAGTGAGAGAGACCATTGTTTCCAGCTGATGTAACCAGCCACATCCTCATTTCATAACTGGACCCGCTCCATGCTGCGACTGTGGAGCAGTGGGGCCCCTCTGTATGCTCAACCCCTTCAACCACCACCAATAAGAAAACCATAATTACCCCTCAATACGCCAGCCAGTTTACTGCCGGCTCTGCCATTCAAAGAGAAACCTCAAACATCTGCATCCAGCCCAGCAGAGAGCTGTTTACATAGCGAAACAAAACCTAACGTGGACATCATGCAGAGCTGCTGCAAAGACACGGGTGGCAACTTCACATCAGCATGATGATGGTAATTTTCCGAGCTACCATAAAACCTTGGCTGCTGACAGAGCCATCTGGTGCATGTTTTCTACGATCAATAGATGTAACTAGTGTTGTTGTTACTGTGTGACTAATCAAACTGTACGTACATCCACTGCACTGTTTCATCGTCATTATTAAGACGCCTTTTTTGAAGGAGGTGGAAATTCCATGTACTACTACGAGCTAATGTGTGTGAGGTCACTGAGGTTACAATATGTAAACATGTAGTTTTACAAGCTGACCTCTGGTTTACCAGAGCAGCCCTTTGATACAGCAGAAAGTAGGGATTAACTATGCCCCACATGGGATTTTCAAGCATTAGAGGGAAACATAGTCCATGATGGCCCTCCTCACTCAACACATTCTCTCTGTTATCTTTGGGAAGTCCCTACAATAGACCACACCAGGAGTGGGCAAAGCTGCAAGGGCTTTAGCTAAAGGAAAATCCCCTGTAGTGCTGTAATCTCCTGACCCATAGGCCAATTCTTCTTGTCCCTCCATATTACTGTTACACCCACATCTGTCAGTTATGATGTTTGACCTGCATCCTGTTGTACAGTCAAGATCTAACCCAAATGGCAACCTCTGGTCTTGACAGATGATGACAACGAAGAAGTCCTCCCTGCATCCCTGTAAATTCACTCCTGGAAAAAAATGACTTTGTGCTGTGAAAAAGGGAGCATCAGTCTTTCAACAGACCACTTTACCTATCTTCAGCCAATATACTACCACTTCCCCTGACCAAACTTTTCCTTAAGTTAGTCATGTTCCAAAAACAACAGCAAGGCAACTTATGTTTATGTGCTGATGATGCAGAGCCAACAATGGTGGAAACATACCTTGAGTTAAAATCAACACATCATGGCTTCAGAGTAGCCTGATTAGCTCCACACCCTTGAGTGCTGTGGGCTTTGAACATGTCATGTTTTCTGCAGAGAGTTCAGTATGATTCTAAGGTACTGAATAAGAGATGTGGTTTTAACTGATGCAGATAAAACTTAGTCACTTCAAGTTACACTCTTACATTATTTTAGCAATGAACAATTTTAAAAAGAAAGGCTGTTTGTTAACAGAAATTAGGATGAAATTCCTCTGAGTATCACTGCTGACCAAATACTCAAACCACAGACATGTAAGGAAAGCAAAGTATTGTATCATATCATCTTCATAAAAATTCAAAAGTAACTATTACTTGGGAATTTATTTTTCATCCATCAACTAAAAAATATAACAATGTTTATCACAATCCTGCTCTGGTTCTGTCACTAAGTTCAGTAAGTCATGTACTATAAAATACCTCTTAGTCATCCAAGGTACTGAATTCCTCACTCTTGATTAGGCTCTGTTGCCCTGATACTATGAGTCAGAAATTATGAGTCAATAAATTCTCTTCATCAATGCTCCAAGACAAAAAAACCCACATACAGACTGAGGGCAAGTGGTTCACAGTCAGACAGGACGGTGATCAAACATGTTTCTGACAAAGAAATATTCTGGCACCTGAAGAGCTAGACTGCTACTGAGGTCCATCACTTCAAGCGGTCAGAGGACTGCAGAAAGTGTTATATAAAACATAGTCCATTTACCGGTCCACTTAACACAGACTTTTCCAGAATTTAGTTCACAGGACAAAAGTAGTTCATATCTGTGTTCACCGTAGTGTCCAATGGAGAGTGACAATGAGGGACTGAAGCTGAAGAGAGCAATTAATACATCTAAAGACAAGAAGACAACCATACCAGACCCCTTGCTATCAATTTTAAGGTATTTCAAGTGCTTTGTTTCTTCGTAGGTTAGAGTACCAACACAAGATTAGACATCAAACAAGCTAACACAAACAAATAATACTAAAGCACTAAAATATTCTTCAGACAAGGGTGGGAAAACTATTTTTTGGCAGTAAAATGGGACTTTCAGATGACGACAAGAAACATTCAGCAGTTTTAATTTGTGCTGACACACAAGGCAGTAATTTTTCAATGTTTGGCCAGCAAACCTTTAACTTGTGTTCTGTGTCAGGACGTAAACTGTGTCAAGCTTTGACTTAAATAAACTATGTTTTGGATACCGTGGTCACCATCAGCCTGTTTGAACTTGCTCTTTGCTCATGCTTGCAAGAAGTCATATTTTCCTTTGCTGCAGCTGCGGCAGACATTTGTGGGCAAGGAGCCAGGACAGATGCAAGGGTATGCTGTTGGTCAAAATAGCAGCATTTGTAAGATGAAGTAGAACTGAAATCCTTGTTGATGTAACTGATTCACTCCAGAAAAAATATATATATATTTGATTTTGGAAATGGCAAAACTATTTTCTGACCCTATAATGGCTTTTGCTGAATAATGAAT